TTCTGAAATTTCGGAACGTTACGGAATAGTGTTCCGGAAAATTCCGGTTTACGGAACAATTGTTCTGGAATTTTCCGGAAAAATGTTCTGGAAAACGTTGAAGACATCTTAAACTTATGTAAAAGATAAAACCAGTAAGTAATACTATCTACAGAATAATAGAATGTGCGCCTGGTACTACAATACAACGTGTAGTTTTTAAAAGCTTTTTCTGATCAATAATATAATTACATATATATAAACTTGTTTCTCTTCGAAAGTGACTTGCGAATTTTTGCTTGTAAGAAGCAAGGAGAAAATTATCTGATATGATTACTTTTTATATCAGATAACGATGGTTTCTTCCATTTGATCAGATACGGNCAAAATATGCCTCCCTTTGTCATTGGAAAATTGTAAAAAGTATAATAAAAGTCCCAGTTTTATTTTTTTTTCCTTATAAGCTTTTAAGAACTTCTTGCTTGATTTAATGTTTTTTTGTAAAAAGATGATAAAAGTCCTATTTTTTTTACAAACTTTTAAAAATTAGTTCCCTTCCTGAAACCTTATTGTAAAACATGATTTGTAGGATCTTCCGTTCAAGATTAACAGGGTTCCAGACACTTACACCAACTTCAGGTAAATTTTTCAGCAAAGTACAGTCGTCGTCGTAAATATCAATACAATGAAGACGACTTGTGATTACAATTTTTATTTCTAACAAGCTTTTAAACAGCATGGGTACACATAAACATGGAACCAACGAGAAGCTGCCAATTAACAGCTTCTTGTTGTTTACTTGTAAACTTGCAATTTGCAAAAAGCTTGAAATTGAAAATTAAAAAGTCGTCTTCATTGTATCGATATTAACTTCTACCACTGTATTTTAAATTGTAGTGCTATAACGAATAGTAAAGTGTATAATTCGAACGAAATAATGTCTGGAAATAGGGGTGTACACAGAACTAACGTGGGGGGGGGGGGTATCATGGTAGGGTACCGATTAAAACATCAACTTTTCTACTTAGAGTCTCAGATAACCCCCCCCCCCCTTATATATATATTTAGCCCCTGAGTACGGATAACAAAGAGATTACTTTACAAGGATGAGGAAAAGGTTAAAACATTTTTTGTTTAAAACTTCTATTGCCTTTCTTAGAGCAATTACAAATAGGTCCTTTGCAGAATTTTGATTAAATGTCATGAAAACAAGAAATCCGGGAACTATAAAATATTCCTATTCCCTGAATATGTGTTATCATCTACATGGCTCGCGGATTTTGACTAAAGACGACATTTTGTGTGATCAGAGAAGGTAACTCCAAACACCGTTGGGAATATTGTACGCCAGCGGTTGCTGGGGTGACCTCCTTTTGTTACATAATCAATATCAACAACAACAACAACATCAAAAACTACAGCATCACCATCATCAACAACAAGAACTGCATCACCTCGTTATGCTTGTAAAAAATGTATTTTCAATGATTTAGTTTGCTTGAATTTTACATTAAAGTAGATAACAATATAGATTTTCACGAGTTCTCTTTTTTTCTTTCTTAAGTGTAGAGTATAGAGTGCAGAGTGCAGAGTGCAGAGTGTAGAGTGTAGAGTGTAGAGTGTAGAGTGTAGAGTGTAGAGTGTAGAGTGAAGAGCGTGAAGCGTGTAGGGTGTAGCATGCAGCATGAAGCGTGTAGCAAGTAGCAAGTGGCATGTGGCGTGTAGCGTCTAGAGTATAGTGTATTCCTTATTAAAAGGAATAACCAAAATTGAATATATATATTATTCAACCTGAAAAAAAAATTGTTAAAGGGAGTGTTCGCGAAAAATGAAAGGGGATATAGACTTAATGCGATAAAAAGCGCTTTTGATCGCTACTAATCTTATTTCTATCTGTTCCGTCTATATTAAGAAAATTGTTAAAAACGACTCACACAGAAGAACGCAGTGTCCATACAAATTCGGAAAGATGCAACATTCAACTCGGATCGTAAACAAATCAATTTAATTCTAAACAAATCATTCAGATATTACAAACAGTAGTCATCGATTATTTTTCGACGCATTCGTATATAGTTAATATTTCATAACATTTTTGATTTTGTTTTTTAAAGATAATTTTCGCTGGCGCTGGATTTTCGAACATTCCTGGAAAATATGAAAATGTCGTCTTCATTATCAAAAATCCTCGAAACAGGAATAAATGTTTTCAAAAGTAACTCTCAGATCATGACAAATACAAAATATTAAGAAATATCAACTATTTTCGAATGCGTCGAAAGATAATCGATGAATATTGTTTGTAATATCTGAATGATTTGTTTGGAATTAAATTGATTTGTTTACGATCCGAGTTGAATGTTACATCTTTCTAAATTTGTATGGAATTAGTCGTTTTTAACAATTTTCTCCTTATAGGCGCAACAGATAGAAGTAAGATTAGTAGTGATCAAAAGCGCTTTTTTATCGCACTAAGCCTATACTCCCTTTCATTTTTCGCGAACACTCCCTTTAATGAATTGTTTGTGTGATAAAAAAATTAAATATTAAACGGGACCAATACAACTTTGGCATAGAAATACAATACAAATCATAGGATTTTTGATACACAGGAATTGTGGAGAGTACACAGACCCATTTTACTAAGTTGATTTTCACGGAACTGGAATAGCTATTAATTTAATTTATAACAATATTAAATACACAAAAGATTACCTTCCTTTTATCTGCTCCACTGTAGATAGAAATAAAGATCATGTAAAAACTGTTCTCAATCGAATATCAAACAGAAATCAGATTGGTTGTAAAATAATAATAACCGTTATGCTTTCATCTAACGACCAATATATTAGTTCTTTTTCAATCGAAAATGTATTATAGATATTTGTAAACCGCAAACAAAAATTCTCTTTAGAAAATATCATTTTAGAAATTTGTCTTTTTGATCTTATTTTTCCTGTCGAAAATATATATAATATCGAAAATATATCGAAAATTAAAAAATAACTTTTGCTAAAATATTTTTTTCTGCACTCTCTCATTTTAATGCATCAGAGTATAAGTTTGTTTGGTCGGAGAACATCAAACAACAAGTTAAAACTTAAAATGGAATGCAAGCACAATTTCAAGTGACCACTGTGATTTAAAGGTTCCAAGCTCTCAAGCAAACAGCCTTGAGAATTTTGCCAATTACTTCTTTAAATTCAAAGCTAAAACCAAGTGCTTAATAATGCTAAGATATACATGTAAAGGGCTACAGAAAAGCATAAGTGAGTTAGAGCGGTAAAATCAAAGCCCAAGGCGTTGCGACACTTCAAAGTCGACCCTGTCTAAAAAATTGATGAAACTTTCTAGAAGCAGGCTATTGCTAAATCTATGTGACCCTCTATGCAAAGATAACAATACTAGATTCCCAACCGTACCTTTAAAAGGAAAAATTCGAATGTTAATGTTCATAATTTTAAATTTTCAATAGAGGTTTTGCAACATTTTTACTGTAGGAAGACATCTTCCACAATGATGATGAAATCATGGTTTAAAGAATACCATTGGGAATCCATGGGATTATCATCTATATGCATGAAAGGTCGCTTAAAATTACATTTTACAAAGGAAATGAGTCTTTGCCACAAACTCTGATTTTCTAATCCCTGTATCTTTGCAATCTGATTGAGTTTACCTAAAATTGGACTTTATTTTCTAATCCTCATATCAGTGTAACCTGCTGTCATGAACCTTTGATATTTCATACAATGAATCTTGCTTGACTATAATATCGTAAATACTATGCTTTTGAAATTTAACGAAGGTTTCCGTTAAAGAATGGCAAAAAGCGGTGATTTAAAGAAATCGGTAACGGTTAACGATCCAAAAAAATGCAATATTAATGGTTTCTAAAATATCCTTCGTAACGCCGCTGATAAATGACAATGTACTTTAATCCTGCTTTAATGTAAAGACGACTTTTTAAGTCTTGTTTAGCCTCTAGTGTTTCAGTGGACACATTCGTTTTAACTGCATTCCATTTATAATAAACTGTGTCTGTATACTATATATTTAATAATAATTGACAAATTAAAGAAGATTTATACTTAACTTAAACTTGGGACTGTTGGGACAGTCATATTTGATTGAGTAAAGTTGCCTCTATGGGTAACCATTTATGAAGACAAATAGAAATCTTAAGAATTAATTTTGTATCGATACAAAAGACAGGAATGAAGCGAAGGAGATGCATAAAATTAAGATAAAAAACTAATCTGTGTGTAGTTTTCTCTTAAAGGGAAAGTTAGCGCAATTTCAAGTGAAACTCTATGCTAAAATGGAAATTTCCCCGATTTACAACTGTACCCTTGAAACCTTATTCGTATCAAAAATATGGAAAAACATACCGTCGTTAGTTCTGATCAAAAATATTCCATAAAATATTAATAATATTGAACACTATTCAATTGCAATACCTGCAATTTTCTGCACTTACCTTCTATCTATCTGTATAATAAAGCTCTTAACTCATTATATTTGTATATGTTTTCTATAGCTGACCAAACGGCTGGACCAAATTGGCTGACATTTGTTCAGCGAACCCATGAGTACCCTGAGCACTCCTGTATGCAGAGTCCATTAGCGCCTGATCCAATCAGGGTTCAGTCATGTGTTTGTTGTCTATTCTGAACCAAATAGTATAGAAATAGTATGGCGGTAACATCTATCTTTCTATCTCATTATCCAATTGGAGTTTTGAATCCTTCAATCGGCGCTATCAGTAAATGAAAATTTTTACTTCTGCTGAAACTATGGTGTGAGGGTAAAAAAGAAAAAGAAAAAAAATGTTATCCTTCATAAATCGAAAACTTTTTCTTCTTCAAAATTCGAATTTTTTTTCCTTTGTCTTGAGCTAGTAAAAAAAATGTTTCACGATGTAAGAAAGTAATTGATTTATTGTGTAACATGATTCAGTAACCTTCAAGATATGGTAGAGAGCCCACCTAATATATTTAATACGCAATTTTACAACATTTGGTGGTTTAAAAATCATAATTTTTAGCTCTCAGTTCCCCCATATAGCAAGACTCATAAACTGTAATAGGAATACGACATTTTATCAGTTTTTTATGTATTTAGCGTTGAAACACAAGCTTGAAAACTAACTCATATAGTGAGATGGGCCTGTGGAACACTGTACAGTGTACTATTCATGTACGGGTTTAATGCTAATTTTATTAAATTCATCACTTGAGTCAAACAGTCGTCTTCCTATGTTAAATAAGTTTACAACATTTTCAATAATAAGAATGGATTGAAAAATTAACATTCTTTTTTAGACTTCTGATGTTATGAACTTGAAAATGATTATTATCTTTGTCTTTATTGTGCAAGCAACTGGGCTGCCGCTTAATTGTGCCGAAGACGGTGAAAAATGTATGTAAGTACGGGAGTTTTATTCCATGGTGGTCACCAAAATTAAGTGGAATACATTTACGACATTCGATCCCTGTAAGATATCGTACAAAGTACCCTTTACCATTAGTAATTTTAAAACTGGTAGAAAAAAGCAATTAAATTTGTCGTTGTATTCGACATTATTTTGGAGAACACTGTACTGTATGATCATTTGCATTTCTGACAAGGCAGTAAATTTTAAGTTTTTAATGAAATCTAAAATCCTCCAGATGTTCAGTTTTCCTGGAAAGGATCTTGTGTTTGCGAGGCAGATAATCTTAAAATGTATGGAAATCAAATTGATCTTGGTAAGAAAGGAATTTTAAAATAAAAACATACGACTTAAAGGGACTCTAGACATAATTTCAAGTAACCATTCAAATAATTGTATCATTGCATGTCCTATTTATACTTATGTCCTTAATACACCTTAATCTAAGTAACAACTAACAATGAAGACAATAAATGTGTTTTTCATTGTTAAAAAGTGTTAATTTCTGACAGTTTGCTTTAATGGAAGTTTAATGGAAAGCCTAATACTAAAAATAAAAACGGGTTGACTAAATAAACAAGGATATCTCATTTATACATAATCAGAAAAGGGTTTTACCCCACTAAACAGGAAGAGTCATTTTTAATTACGTCTACAGTCCGCGTTAATGGGAGAGTTCGCAAAAAATGAAAGGGGTCTGATAAGACTTTAATATCGATCGCTACTTATTTTACTTTTAAGGAGAAAATGGTTTAACACGTCCATTTCACTTCACAGAGATGCATTATTCCACTCAGATTGAAAAAATTAAATTAAATTTCAAATTAGGCATTCAAATGTTGCAATCAAAATTTGCTAACTGAAGAGGACGATTTTTTGGCCGCTAGGTATCTCACCTAGCGGCCAAATAATCGTTGTTTAAAGTAAGTACCTCAATTGTCTTGTTTTTTAGGGAGGGAACCCCTGACCCCCATGAGCTTCCATACATTGTGAATTTCAAAATCAAACTTTTTAAGAAATAAAGATAATAAGAGAACCCATTCTGAAGTGAATTTGATTTGTCATAATTATGGTTTAAGTGAAACCTTTCTTAGACAAATTTTTTAAATCTAGATTATTTTTTTAAAAATTATTTTTCATTACAAGATTCATTTAAGTCTAATTTTTTTCTCCACTGCAATTATTGCATAAATAGGCTCATGGCTTTTATATGCTTTCTTGTATGAATAATAATAATAATAATAATAAATTGACCCTGAATAATTACGATCGTGATTTGTCTATGCCTTGTGAAAATTTGACTAGCGATAAATTTTTCAGAGAGTGGATCACTTATTGGAAGTAAACCGGATTGTATTGAGTATTGTAAGGAGCTAGAAGGCTGTGAGTACATTACACAAAACAAGCATACGCAAGAATGCTTCTTTAGTACTGGAAAAGGACCTGTAAACGTTACTGAGGATAAAGGGTATGTTAACAAGAACGTTAGAAAAAGTTGAGAAATAATATTTGAATTCAAGAAATTATTTAATTTGTCAGAATTAATGGAATTAAAGTTAGCAATCAAAATGATTTAAAATGGGTAGCTTAATAGAATGCGCTATCACGCAATTTATACACAAGGTTACCCTTACCAATACAATTTTTTTCTGTTAACGGTTGTGAACACAGAAGCCGAAGATAAAAAACATCAAAATATGTATAATTTTTTTTCTCATGTTTAAAAAAAATCAATCTCGTTTTCATTTTCAACCGTAAATTTTTTTTCTCAAGAACGGCTAGTCCTGTTCGTTAACGATTTAAAAATTAACGGTTTTGCCATTCATTAACGCATTTCATTATACAGTAAAATGACTTAATTGAGTTTCCTGAAGAACTATTAATTTGATGGAACTCAGAATCAAAACACATCAGATTCAAATAAGAATATTAGTATGAATCATTATTTACAACAAAGAAAATATTATTTTCAGATTCACATCATTTCACAAGGGAAAGTCAAAATTTAAACAAGTTTAAGTTAAATAGTAAAAATCCATGAAATTATAAGGTAGGAGAATTGTTACCTAATTTGACTATCTGCAATAGGACTGCAACTCAGGGAATCTTTAAAATGTTTTGTTAAAACAAAAAACCAAATCTGAAATCTGAAAAAACTTTTCTATGTGTATTGGTAAACGTTAAGATACTTTTTTAATGATTCACAAGATAAAGCGGAGAGTACAGTGGTAGGAAGTGATTATCAAGGAAATGAATATCCAGACGATGATAATTCTGATGATACGGTGGTAGGCAGTGATTATCAAGGATATGGGTATGATGATGATGGTGGTTATGGTTATCAAGAGGAGGGTGGCGATGATGACAATGTCAGAGGTAATGGAGATGGAGGATACGGATATGATAATGGCAATGATGTCAATGGTAGAGATAATTATTTTTTTATTATTCAATAACTGCTCAGATGTCAACAAATTAAAAAAAAGATTTAGATTTTATCTAAAAAAAAAGAATAAAACTGGCCATTGCTCAGAATGTTCTAGCCACAAAACGTTTTTAACGGTTAGTTAATATTGTTCAAAAAATGACTTTTCCCGTAGCCCTCCGTTCTTTAGCTAAGAACTAAAAGTTCCATTTGTAAATGGTAGTTATACCACGCTCTCTTAAAGTTTCTGTTCGTTAAAACTTTTTTATTTTTTATTCATAAACATCGTTAACGGAAGAAATATTATTAATAGCTTCATATTAGTTAACGATTTTATAATTATTGGTTTTTGCTGTTAGTTAACGAACGCTATGGTTAGTTTAAAAAAACTTGCCGTTCCTTAACGGAACATTGCAAGCTATAGCAGTGTTCCACATTTTATTTACTTGAATTAGCATAATGCCATTATTTAGACCAAGGTGATACCTATTATGAAGGAGAAGCAGATGAAGGTGATGGAGGGGATGGTGCTGCAGTTGAAGAGGGTGGAGATGGTGGTGGCGGAGCTGCTTATGATGAAGCTGAAGGAGATGATGGAGCTGAATATGACGATAATGCATATGAAGACAGCTATGATGAAGGTGGTGAGGTAAACCGTGAATATGGTAACAATGGGCAGTACAATAATCCATTCCTGGATAGCTCAGAAAATGGGGCAGCAGAGGGAGAAGCTGATACTTATGATGCAGAGTCTGGATATTATTATGAGTATTATTAGATACAATTTTATACAAGGTTGCAAATTTCAAATTGTTAAATAAATTGACAAACTGTTTTTTTTTCATTTATTCAGCATAATTTCCCTGTTATTTATGAAAATATGGGAATTTTTTTTCGAAAACTTCGCAGAGAAGGTGATTATTTTATTTTAATGTCCCAAGGGATGTTATGCAACTTAATATCCCTCAGTTGGGGGGAATTATCAGTTGGTAATATTGGTCAAAAGGCGGTAATGCTATTAAAAATTCATTGAGTTATTACTATTTTGTTTAATGAAGACAATAAATGTGTTTTTCATTGTTAAAAAGTGTTAATTTCTGACAGTTTGCTTTAATGGAAGTTTAATGGAAAGCCTAATACTAAAAATAAAAACGGGTTGACTAAATAAACAAGGATATCTCATTTATACATAATCAGAAAAGGGTTTTACCCCACTAAACAGGAAGAGTCATTTTTAATTACGTCTACAGTCCGCGTTAATGGGAGAGTTCGCAAAAAATGAAAGGGGTCTGATAAGACTTTAATATCGATCGCTACTTATTTTACTTTTAAGGAGAAAATGGTTTAACACGTCCATTTCACTTCACAGAGATGCATTATTCCACTCAGATTGAAAAAATTAAATTAAATTTCAAATTAGGCATTCAAATGTTGCAATCAAAATTTGCTAACTGAAGAGGACGATTTTTTGGCNAATATTAGTAAAATGTTTTGCCATTTCCTTTCCCTATATTCTTATTCCCTGGTCTGAATCAATTTATCCTTATTAATATGTGTCCTTAAGAGTAGTACTGCAGGGCACTATTGGAGTCTTTTCAAATTGTTATTGGTTGGAAATATCAACCGAACTGACAGGCTCATCAAGTCTAGTCAATCATTAAGTTTGAAATCAGTTTTTATTTAACTTTGCATTCACAATTAGCAGTTGGCAAATTTTAGTACGAGGGAGGGAACCCCCGGACACCATGAGCCTCCGCTTTGCAGACACGAGCCTCCCAGATTTACTAGGCAGACCTAGCCTCCTCTATGCAGATCGTGCCTCTGTTATGCAGTGACCTAGCCTTCACCATACAGAACAGCTTTTTTAAAATATTTGTTTTTATGTGTAATACAAAATGTTAACAATTTTTTTGACATAGTGGCATGAGAGGTTTTTCTAAGATAAGAAGTATTTATGAATTATCATTAATAGTTTCTAATTATGACTAACAAAGTGGTATATAAATTTTTAAACATTCTTTAGATGAAAGGAAAATATTTACAGAAAAAAAATTGAATTGAATTGAATTTCATCTTTTATAATCTTTGATTTAAGCAATACCTTTTTTTGTGATTCAACTCAAATCTACAAAATTTCGAAAATTTATTTAAATCTTAACATTTAAAAAAAGGTATTGTTTAAATCAAAGATTACAACAAAACAAACTAAATTTTCTCCAGGAATATTTCTCCAAATATCTTCCTTCAGGCGTAAGAAATGTTTAAACTAGTCATATACAGTGAAACCCTTAATAACGAATACATCGGAAGAATTTATCAAATGTCGTCTTGACAATTTTTCAATGAGTTTTATACTATATTACGTAAATTTCCGTATTTGCGAAAATAAATAAATAGCCATTATTATGCGGGAACAGTTATAAAGAGTTCCATATAATCATTTAATCAAAAAACTAAATATCTGCAACGTTCCATTATCAGAAAGTGAAGAATACGACATTTTTGATGAATTCTGTCGATGTATTCGTTATTAAGGGTTTCACTGTATAAATCTTATAAACCACTTTTCGAGTCCATTTATGTTTTTAATCATGACAATCAATAAATGAAGCTAATTCTTATGCCAATACGTCAAAAAAATTTGTTAACATTTTTCATTACACATAAAAACATTAAAATAAGCTGTTCTGTATGATGGAGGCTCGTTCACTGCATAGCGAAGGCACGGTTTGCATAGCGAAGTCTTGGTCTGCATAGTGGAGGCTCGGTCTGCTTAGCGAATTTGGGAGGCTCGTGTCTGCGTAGCAGGGGCTCATGGCGTCCGGGGGTTCCCTCCCTCGTTGTACTCATAGATTACAAATGACTTTAGGGTTAATTTTAACAAAATAAAGAAGCACCATTTCTCATTACACAGTTTAGGAAACTAAAAAAAAACATCCAAAAATTTGCTTTCTTTGACAATTATTTCTGTAGCCACAAGAAAAATGTGATTTATTTTGCCATTTTTTAATTTGAGAGTTAAAATGTTCGCTAAATCCCCAGTTTTTAATTTAGAATGATGTTTTATATCATTTTGGAAATCCCAAATACTGTTTGAAGACCAAACTTTAAAAGATTACATTGTTTGACAATTAGTCAAATTATTAACAAATTTAGCTAAAAAAATATCGATTTTTCTGCTGCGCACTTCAACTTATGACCATCGTCTCGCCAATTAAAAAATATTTCTTTTATATTTTTTCTCTTTTCTGTATGGTGTAATGTTTCTGAAATGTCCTTATTTATTCATATATCTTCAGAAATGGCCGATCTATAGGCATCTAAGAAAACGGGTGGCTTGACTCTTGTACAGGGTACCCTGATAAGGTTTTATTCAATTTCCGGTGTAGACTGGGGTTTTTTACTCAGATTTTTTTTTTAATAATGCAATCAACGGTAACAACAATAACTTTCCAATAAGCTATCAATAACGTAACTTCACCAATAAATAAAGAAATTGTGATATATTCCCATTCTTGATCCAAACACACCTCGTACAATGCCCATAACTTGAAATTTAAAACATTTTGCTCTAGAATGCCACTTTTGACCCTAAAATTTACTCGAAATGAACTAGGGCTCTTTTATAAGTTTTGCATCTTGCAAAAAAGTCACTAAAAGTTGACTTTATTTTCCGCATTTTAAATGAACTATTTCCCGCATAACAAGTTAAATCTTCAATGTAAAAACAAAATCATTTTAATATTCAGATTTCTCTAAGCTGTAATGATTTTTAAATTATTAAAACACAGTATGCTTTTTTCTAATTTGTTTATATTTTAAATGAACTGAAATATTTCATACGAGGTAAAATGCGGAATTTTTTTTATCAAAATAGGGATATGTTAGAAAATAAAACCGAGTATCAACTTATTCTTTGAGTCTTATTTTTATGTATAAAGAATGTGCTTAGAAACATGCTTGAACTCAGAATTTCTTCCTGTTTTTAGTTTAAAGTTGACATTTCTTGATTTCACATTTAGTTTTAGCCATTTCTTAAAAATGTATGGTATAGTTTTGTTCAGCTCGGCCTGGAATATATACGTTTGGAAAAGATAACTTTGCAGACTTGGCCCATTTTTAACACTCAGGTTAAAACTGAATATTAGTAAAATGTTTTATCGACGACCTCCCCATTTATCTAGCAACATTTCTTAACACAGCACAACGATCTTTAGCAAATTAAAAAGCCTAAACGCATTCTTTTCAGAGACACCTGTAGGCTGTATTTAGTATTGTACACAATTCAGAAACATGTTTTGTTTAAGAAGTTGAGTAAATAAATAAAAATTCAGTAGAAAAAATAAACTAAATATATCACAAAATATATTTATTAAAAAGAATTTACATGTTGGTTTTTCATAGATATTAATTATGAGTACTTGATACATAAATTCTTTTAAAATTCATTTAATAGATTTAGGAGGTAAATAAGTCTTCAAATCTGAGTTTTGAATTAATTAATGAATAAGTTAATTTTTTGAATTTAGAAGCTTGTTCTACAAAATTTTCTTAATTAGAACTTAAATTTTACTGTACCGGCCTGTCCTTCATTTCTTACAATGGTGACCTCTGACCACTGACCAAGGAGAGACCGACAAGAGAAGTGATTGGAAATAAACTTTTAAGATAGATTTTGAAGGTTCCAAACCCCAAGATATAGGCATGGCCAGGGTTTCCAGGGGTAGCTGTTGAGGTTAACCTTGTGGAGGAGCTGGGTCGGAGATCGGAGGTTGAAGGTTTTTAAAACTAAGCTTCAAGCTCGCCTCCTTCATAGCTAACCGTTGACATGCTTGAATCAAGGTGGAGCAAAGATCGCTTGCTTTACTCATTCGTTCGCCAGACTCACAAAACCGGGAAATCATCTAAAAAATAGCATTTTTTACAAAGAAAATAGCATTTTTACAAAAGGTATAAAGGTTTACAATTTAAAAAATACCACCCCCCCATGCCGTAATGTAAGGGAGGTAAGGGGAGATTTCTGTTACCTCCATTTTATTGAGGGTTTGAGATTTGTCTGCACTCTCAGGTATTCTCGCATTGAAGGTCTTCAATAATGATTTTATAGCATCTATCGTCTTCTGCCTTTCTCTGGGGTCTATAGAAACTCCTGAAAGATTTAACAATTAATAAGGATAAAAAAAAACAGATGCGACAGCAATTCAATCAAATCAGAACTTCTGTGTTGTGTATAGGGTTTCTAAATTTTCGATTTATCTCTTCCGCGAAATTTCGATAAAAAACGAAAACAAAAGTATCGATCATTTGAGCAAAACTTAGCGAAAATTTTCGTGGCGAGAAAAGAGATCCTTTTCGTGGCGAGAAAAGAGATCCTATGTAAGTACCTTTAACTTGAATATTATGATCAAGGTTTTGTAATCCATCCAACAACTCAACCATCATGTTTCCAGTATTCAATAGCTGGGATTTCAGACCTCCACCATCCTCTCCCCCATCTTCTTCTCCTTCTCTTTCATGTCCTTTAGTTCCAAGAACTATAGGACCTAATGTGTTCAAGATGTCCTAAAAGTAAAAAAAGAAACGTTAAATCTAGGGGCTTTCTTGCATTTTCGGCCCTTCTAACATTGAGTGTTAGAAATGGGCACAAATTTAAAGACTGGGGTTTTAGGATCCCGGCCCATATCAAGAGTAAAAGTAGATAATTAAATTTATAACCAATATTTTATTAAACATCACAAGGACAACAATTCCCAAATTAAAACTATTTTCTGAAATCAAAATCATAAAAGGAGTTCTTTTAAAAACCCCTTGACCGGTTTCAAAACTATGTCAGGTTTTACATTTTCGAACATATCCTGAATTTGAATCATTGTCGCGTTATCGAGACAAAACCCACTACTACAAAAAAAATCACTGAGAGAAAAAATTATTTCATGAAGCCTAAATTAACTGCTGAATTATATTTAGAATCTTAGCTCTAACATTTTATTTGTTAAATAAGAAAAAAAAGTTGATTTAGTTTCCTGCATTTCTAATTAAATCTACAGTGTAAGCACAAAATAAAATTAATAATTTTATTTCTCAATGCCGTAATTTTTTTTTATTTACAAAAGAACACTTTGTTTGTATTTTAACTTATTTAATATCTTGTTTTGTGACGTAAGTGCGTAAATACTTTAAAATTCACATTGATATGAATTCGAGTAATTGTCTCAAAACCAGGATATGTTTTAAAAACGCAACATGAGCTGATCTGATATGAGCTACAATTGACCAGCTCCTGTATATAGTCTAGTATACCTGTATATCTGATATGAGCTGTATATTTACCAGATCCTGTATAAACCCTGGTATACCTGTATATCTGATATCAGCTGTATATTGACCAGCTCCTGCATATAGTCTAGTATACCTGTATATCTGATATGAGCTGTATATTGACCAGCTCCTGTATATACCCTGGTATACCTGTATATCTGATATCAGCTGTATATTGACCAGCTCCTGTATATACACTGGTATACCTGTATATCTGATATGAGCTGTACATTGACCAGATCCTGTATATACCCTGGTATACCTGTATATCTGATATGAGCTGTATATTGACCAGCTCCTGCATATTAGTGATTGTCTGATATCTCTTCTCTTCCAGTAACCTCCAACCTTCAAAGAGCTTCCTTTCACATTCCTTAACCAACAAACTTTTTAACAAAATCACATGCGAGCAATTTATGGTGGATCGATTTTACACTCCCCCCCACCCCATAAAGATTCAGGTGTCTGAGGAATAAATATACCTCTAACAATACTAAGAACTTTCCCTAAAAAATTAAAAAAAACTTTAAAACGGAGATCTGATAGCTATTTAAGAAAAAAAATAGATACAAATGTTTATTATAAGACAGAATAAAATTATTGAAAATTATCGGTAATGGTATTAAAATAGTTTATATGATTGAGATAAAAAAACCTTTTCTGTTCTCTCAAGTGCCTTTTTGGAAGCAAGTAGAATATACTGGGACTGGATGTATCTTGAGTAAATTAGGTCGTATTCTTCTTCACTAAATATTCAAGAATTAACAAGTTAGATCAGCAGATTTTTAATTTAATTCTGTAAATCGAATCGAATCGAATCGAATCGAATCGAATGGAATCAAATCAAATCGAATGGAATCGAATCGAATCGAATCGAATCGAATCGAATCTACTAGATCAAGAAAAAAAGTATTTAAATCATTTCAATATAGTTCTCCAGGCTAATTTTTTAATCATCCCACCATTGTTAAAAAATGGCAATAATTTTAATAAACGACAGTCAAAAAAATATTACACCTTCGTCTTTTAGTAACAATTATTAAATAATTTTATAATAAAATAATTGAATTAATAGAAATACTAGATGTGTTTGTAACTTATGAGCTAAAAACATGATTTTCAGTCAACAATTTAAAGGGCTATACGTGTAATAATTTCAAGTGACCCTCCATGCAAAGATGACAAAGCACAACGGTACACTTAAAAGCTTTGTCTGATCAAGTATGAATTAGAGATCAATGTTTTTGTTTCTTTAAACTGTTTATTTCAATTTTCGGGTTCTCTGCAAAAGTGATTTTTTTTGCTTTTTAAGAAGCAATAAAGAAACCATCATAATTAACCACTTCTATTAGTCAGAAAAATTACGATATAATTACACTTTTGATCAGATGAAGGTTTCAAGTTTCATCATTGCCATCTTTGCATAGAGAACCACTGAAATTACGATTACAGTCCATTTAAAAAACAAGTTGAACTCTCTGATAGATATTTACCTCATGTCTTCTGGGTCTAGGGTTTCCTCAAACACTACTCCAGGCTTAAAAGCTGTATTTGCTACTGCAAATATTCACATCATCAGAAAAACGCCTGAACCGATTAGGACGTTTTTTTGTGGTATCTCACATAGTTCCCGAGAAAGGTTAATGCAGGATTAGAATATAAAAGTTTTGCTGCACAACTATTTGGATTTAAAAATAGTTTGAAAATCCACCCATGAGAAGAGGAAAATCCACCCATGAGAAGAGGAAAATCTGTGAAACTTTGTAATGAAAGGCATGCAGAAAGATGAACGAAAAAAGCCAAGACTTTACCAAGAAAATGAGCACTTAAAGTGTCCTTTACTTATGCCAAAGAAAAAGAAAATTGACGGTCTTAGCCATGTTTTATTTCCAAATTTCTAAAATTGGTGTCTAATATTCATGGCATTTTGAAATCAAAGAGACTAGGCACGTAATTTTAAGAACCTGTCCAGATGTTTAAAAAGGAAACATATCCGATTTACATTTACAAGACTTTAAACATGGAATACACTCATACATTTAGAAAACGCAGGAGTTCTCCTAGATGTATTTAAAAATAAATCCGAGGAATTGCCGGTTTTCTACTCATCTGCAAGTCAATTTTATAGAAAACCACGACTCATGACTCATAAAATAAATATTCAGATAGAAACACATGGATATCCTAATCCCTTTTCTCAAACGAAGATTTAAAGGTTACCATTGTTAACAGGAAACGCCAAACAATAAGTGGGGGACCCTTAAAATTACGTCAACCGCCTTCTTTGATTGACTCTTGCATCGGAGCTAGGTCCAAATATACAATTACAAAATTATGTCTTGATTCTGTTGCCTTTTTAACGGTTTTCCAGTGAACATAACTATTTCCGATGATTAGTTTCCTTTGAAAGCAGTTTGCGCTGGATTTCTCGGTTTATAAGTTGTTTGAGGTCTAGGTCTTCCTCTGATGGTAGTTTTCCGGGTTGTGTTTAAACCAGGACGGGTTGGTTCAGGGAGTAGGGTTGACTCCAGGTCTCCAGGGTTAGCTGAAGCTCCGGGATTGGAGAGGAAAGGAAGAGAACTGACTGGAACAGGAGCAGTTTCATTCAAAAGATCAGCAGTCTATATAAATTTTAAATTAAGGACGGATTAAAAACAAAACTGATTTTTATTTATAAAATACAGGGGTTTCTCTACTTAACAAATTTTATACACAAAAAATCTGCCACCATTAGTATCAAAGTCCACAAATCTGCTGTAAATAGCATCTTGTCTATAAAATCTACTACAGTATCTCGTCCATAAAATCTGCCACAATTAGTATCAAAGTCTACAAATCTGCTGTAAATAGCATCTTGTATATAAAATCTACTACAGTATCTCGTCCATAAAATCTGACACAATTAGTATCAAAGCCCACAAATCTGCTGTAAATAGCATCTTGTCTATAAAATCTACTACAGTATCTCGTCCATAAAATCTGCCGTAAATGGTATCTTTCCATAAAATCTGCCGTAAATGGTATCTTTCCATAAAATCTGCCGTAAATAGTTCTTTCCATAAAATCTGCCAAAAATAGTATAGCCTATAAATATAATATAAAGTATAAATATAAAATATCCTACAAAATCTGTCAAATATAATATAAAGTATAAATATAAAATATCCTACAAAATCTGTCACAAAAATGTCTTTAATGTTAAGAAATAAAGAGCATTATCTACCAACATCTTCCTTTCCTGTACACATAAAGGGTATTATGTACAGCTTTAATTTATGGTGCACACTGTCAACATGAAGGGTATTATTTACAGCATTATGTAATGGTGTAATGGTGTACCCTGTACATATGAAGGGTATTATTTACAACATTAAGTTAATGTACACTGTACACATGAAGAGTATGTGTACAGCTTCAATTTAATGGTGTACACTGTACACATGAAGGTTATGTGTACAACTTCAAGTTAATGGTTTACAATGTTCACCAGAAGGGTATTATTTACAGCATGAAGTTAATGGTATAAACTGTACACATTAAGAGTATGTGTACAGCTTTAAGTTAATGTACACTGTAGACATGAAGGGTATGTGTACAGCTTTAAGTTAATGGTGTACACTGTCATGGAGGGTATTATTTACAGCATGAAGTTAATGGTATAAACTGTACACATTAAGAGTATGTGTACAGCTTTAAGTAATGTACACTGTACACCTGAAGGGTATGTGTACAGCTTTAGTTAATGATGTACACTGTAGACATAAAGGCTATGTGTACAGCTTTAAGTTAATGGTGTACATTGTATACATGAAGGGTATTATTTACAACATTAAGTTAATGGTGTACACTGTACATATGAAGGGTATGTGTACAGCTTTAAGTTAATGGTGTACACTGTCATGAAGGGTATGTGAACAGCTTTAAGTTAATGGTGTAGACTGTCATGAAGGGTATTATTTACAGCATGAAGTTAATGGTGTAAACTGTACACATGAAGAGTATCTGTACAGCTTTAAGTTAATGTACACTGTACACATGAAGGGTATGTGTACAGCTTTAAGTTAATGGTGTGCACTGTCATGAAGGGTATTATTTGCAGCATGAAGTTAATGGTGTAAACTGTACACATGAAGGGTATGTGTACAGCTTTAAGTTAATGGTGTACACTGTCATGAAGGGTATTATTTAGAGCTTTAAGTTAATGGTGTACAGTGGTACACTGTACACATGAAGGGTATGTGTACAGCTATAAGTTGATGATGTAAACTGTACGTTAGGGTGTACCAACAAACAAAAAGTGTGAACGTTATTCTATCCTTTTGTCATTGGACCCTAAGTTAAAAATTAGCTTTAAAATTTATTTTAAAAAAACATTTCTCAGCAAAATATCACATTTGAAATTTTCCAAAATTTCTTTATCAAACACATTTTGTGTGGCTGAGTTTAGATGAGATTAGATGAGGCTGATCTTTGCAAGCAGCCTCCAGTTTAGGTCATCTAACCAGATTAAGAGAAAATCTTCAGATTTAAATAATTTGGAAATTCTGCATGCTGCCCTTTTTTGTAAAAATTGAGGTTATAGACATTCGATTAAAAAAGTTCTTTTAGATCCTTGCATTTGACAAAAACTGAAAGATAAGCATAATTTTTGCTCACACCAGAGAAAATGGTGAAATTACTTTGCTGTAAGAAGTGCTGAAAAAAGTACTAAGTACATAAAAGAGTAGCTACCTGTGTACTAATAACACTATGTACTGAGTACATATGAAGAAATATACCTGTGTACCGGGAAAAGTACATATCCTGCTGGCATCCCAAGAATCTGTCCTCAATTACACTCAAGATAAAATATTTGTAAAAAATAACAAAAAAACTTCAAAAACTTAAAATTTAAAATCTACAATTTTCTTTTATAGAACGTAAACAAAAATTTATAGAATTCCACATATTTATAAATTTCATTTGTAAGTTGTTAACTGTTGAGTATTTTTTTCCTAAAACAGTAACTGAAGCATATTCACCCTCAGTTGGTGTAGATGACCCTCTGAAACAAGAGAGAATAAAAACAGTGAAGTTGCGATCCAACAAAAACTTGAATGCCTCAATTCCTTCTATCTATCTACTATATATACTTTGCTCGTCTGTTTGTATCCAATAAACGTCCAAACGACAACTCATTTGACCTAGGGTAGGATATGGAAATATTTGAAAATACGCAATAAGAAAAGAAAATCCGCGAAATGACATTAACCAAAAAAAACTGACAGCTTGAAAAGCATCCGTTAATTAGAAAAGGGACACAAATAACCGTGGAAGCCCAGTAACATATATTTCAGTTCATTTTATTTCCAGCACCGACCTGTAGGGATTTTTGATTATTGTTTCAGGTGTTCTTTCCCTTCCTTCCTCGTTTCCCTAGATAAACACTATACACTATACACTACAGATATAACAAATACATTTCCTTAGATTTGAGTTTCTAATTTTTAACGTCTCGATTTTAAGGGTTTAAAAAGTTAGCAAAGCCCCCTGCCTTAATTTTTATGGCTGAGTATGCTTTATCCTTAAAATCTTTGTCTGGTCAAACATGAGTAAGATTTTCATGCTTATCTGATAAAAAAATTTTCATTCTGAAAACAATGGAGGTTTTACTAGAATTGAACACTTTTTTAGCCAGAAAAATGACGATATCTTCCACATTAGAGATCAGGAACTTGAGTTTAAAGTTTACCGTTGTGGACTTAAATTACAGCGAGAAAAACGACAAATAAATCCGGAAATCCTTAAATATGTTTTTTAAAGAAAAATGTCTTACATGAGTTCCATTGGTGGGACCTCTACCAATCCTAGCTCCACCTCCTTGTCCCGCCCTAGTTGCTGGACCCCCCATAGCTCCCAGTCCCACCTGAACTCTACCAGTCCGTACTCCACCCCCTCCCATTGATCGAACTCCGGTCAATACATTGGCAGGTTTTCCCCCTCTAGTAGAGACAGGAACCAATCCTGAAAAAATTTGTTTTTATTTCAATAGTAAACCGAATAAGCTACATTTTTCCCTGTCACAATTTGCCACTAACATTTATTTTATATAATTATAACGAGAAATCAAACTCAGTAATTCAGTGGAAAAAAAACTATTTATAGTGTTGAATTCAAATCATATGTGTCAGAGCAACTTCAATGACGTTAGGAATTTTATTTTGGCAACTCTCTGTAGTTTCGTCTTTCTTTTCAGTTTTACAAATTTAGTTTTAGAAAATTTTGCAAATATTTTTGCATATTTGAATTCGCCGTGGCAAAGGCTTTTCAAAAATGTATAATTTATCATATTTCGCGCACTTTTTGTTATGGTACATTATTGCTCCATAACTTGATATCGCAATAAATATTTGCAATTTTGTAATTTTTTTGCAGATTAAACCTGACGTCGGTTAAGCCTGAATAGGGTTAAACCTTTCTAATAGGGGATAACATTCTATGCAAATATTGTTATATTTGTTAAGCTGTTTTATATTGCATCATAGCTCAAAGAGAGAAACATCAAAACGTCATGTTTTTGTTCAAGAAAGGGGAAGAAAGGTGCACCCTTCTCATGTGTTTATACCATTTTAAAACCAGATTTATAGGGACTGTATACGTAACTTTAAGTGACCCTAAATTGATGAGAGTGGCTGGTCCGATTCACAATGGTACCCTTATAAACTGTGTCGGATCGGATCAAAACTTAAAATCTTAAGACTCTGTTATATTAATTTCCTAAGCCGATCATCATTTTCTTTAGATACATTAAAAACAAAAATTGAGAATTTTGTTTAAAGTTTTTCTTCTTAACCTTTTCGTCAAGATGGGTGTTTACATAAGAAATAAGAAATAATTATNGTTAAAAAATTTACAATTACAATTACAATTTTTGTAATATCAAGAAACGAACAAACTAAATGGACGGTACTCATCGGTTCAAGACGCAACTTTTAATACCCATATCAACATGTTTTAAAATTAATCAAATTTTTTCTTTTCTAAATGTTGCTTCAAGTTTGCCACTGCATAACTTTTGACATTTTCGATACAATAGTTTCACCCTTCGCTTACCTGAATATATTCTTCATTTTTTAGCAATCAGTGCTTAGGATCTAATTAATTTTGGTGCGGATCCGGATCCAGGTTAATTCTCAAAGATTTACTGAATTTTCTTTAACAAAAAATATTTTGAAATTTTTTATTTTATTTTTTTTTCGCTCACTTTTTCCCTAAAACTTGATGAACCATTTAGAAATGAGAAAGTTTGTATAATCTCTCTTTTTCAAAAATTCAGATTTGGGTTTTAGGGGTAAAAAAGTTTTTTTTTTGCAGTTTATCGTTGATATTTTACCCCTTGAAACCGGATCCGTGGATCCGCATAATTTTGCGGATCCGAACCCAGGGAGCCAAAATCTTGCGGATCCAACAGATCCGGATCCTAAGCAAGCTGGTTTCAATACATCATGTATCATGAGTTTAACGATCTGATGTTTCAGATCTGGAAGTCCAGCTTTGGACTAGGACAGGTTAGTACTTGCGCTTCTTAAAATACCTTTAACTGGCCCTCCTCCTCTTCTTTTAGTTTCTGCTCCGGCTCTCTGTAAAGGGAAATATTAGAGATGTAAATATATTTCTAAGGACTAGTTTGTTAAGCAAAAGGTAGTACGTGAAACACTTCAAAAATGCACTAAGCGATAGGGGTCATCGATTTAGGACTTTATTTAAAAACTAGAAATTCACAACATAGCAATTCTTTGTTTGAATTTCGTGTCATATCTTTCTTGGATTTTATGCTGAATATTAATTTGAAAACCATTAACAAATTTGCAAATGTAATAAGTTAGAGCACGAGCGAGAATTTACAAAATAAACGATTTAAAAAAAAAGTTTTTAGACTATTAGTAGTTTGCCTTGTACAATTTTTTATGTTGTCGAGTCTGAATTGAGCATGAAATTTCCAAGAAAAATAACCAATGGGGGTTTCCGATTTATTAGGCTACAAATTGGCACAAAGCCTTGTCAATAGGGTTACTATAGTTGTTTAAGCGATTATATCAATATAATAAAGATATTTTTTTCAATTTTGATTTATATTAAGATCTTTAAAACAACATGGATACACAAAAACATAGAAACAAGGAGAAACTGTAAATTTAAAAAGCTTCTCTTTTTTATTTGTAAACTGTAGTTAACAATTAAAGCTTGAATGAAAAAGTGGTCTTAATCAAACTGATATTTTTGCATAAACCATATGAACCTAAAGTCTAAGATCTATCACCCCTTATAAGGAAATCGCTCTGCAATCTCTCAGAAATAAAATAAAATCGACTTTCAGGTTGACCTCCTTACTCTCGACTCCTCAAACTTGAAATTAATAATTCAAAGTAATGTCTGGAGAAAGGTCTTACGCCTTCCAGACAGTATGGTTCTATATTTATTTTTGTTCTGATACTTTTTCCGGATTGTTATACTGACAGTGCTTAGGATCCGGATCCAACAGATCCGCAAGATTTTGGCTTCTTGGATCCGGATCCGAAAAAATATGCAGATTGCGGATCCACGGATCGGGCTTTAAGGGGTAAAATATCAACAAAAAACTGAAGAAAATAACTTTTTTATTCCTAAAACTCAAATTTGAACTTTTGAAAAAAGAGAAGTTAAAAAAAGTCCTCATTTCTGAATGGTTCAGTAAGTTTTAGGATAATAATAAGCGAAAAAAATAAAACAAAAAATTTGAAATTTTTTTTGTTTAAAAAATTCAGTAAATCTTTAAGAGATGACTTGGATCCGGATCCATTTTTTTCCAGTGCGGATTCAGAATCCAGATACGAATCATCAAAATTAAATGGATCCTAAGCACAGGTTATAAACCAGTTAAAAGTAAAATATAAAATTAAAGTTAAACCACTGAAAACTTTTCTTACTTTGAATAAAATAATTTATTTTCTTACTTTGGCAACTGAGGCAGCTGTGGGTTTAAATAAACGGCTTGTAATCAATACCTTCGAGATTTTATCCATTTTCGTTATTTTTATCCTTTTTTCAATAGATTTTGTTAAACTTTTCCGAGTTTAGGCTAAATAAAATAAAGAGAGACAACTATAGATGAAAATTGAATTTTAAAAATCCAAATACCTAACACGTGCATTTTAAGATTGCCATGTTTGCATTTTTAGAATAATTTTGTTTTTGACAAAACAACACATTCAAATCATATTTGTGTTACTTTACTTATATCAATTATGCTACTTAACCTAGAAAAAAATGTTATACAGCGAATTAGAAGCTTCATGCACAAATTTAAATTCAGTATCTAACAAAAGAAAGATTTTTCTAGAACTGAGGAAACCCTAATAAACTTTAAAAATATTCGAAAAAAGGTTTCGATCTAAGTGCAGTTATTTATTATTTTGTCTTTCCTTAATCCATTTTTATTAGAATTTTCTTTCAGTCGTATTTCGATACGATAGCTGGATAAAATTCCTTTTTAGTTCCTGGAGGTCCACCAGATTTATTTTCAGATGATTCTGCACTCTTCTTCTCAGGTTTAATTTGAGAATTATTTCCAGGATTAACTCCACTCCTGTTCAACGATTTCTCTCCACTTTTGCTCAAGCATTTCTCTCCACTTTTGCTCAAGGGTATTTCGCCATTTTTGCTCGACACTTTCTCTCCACTTACACTCAAGCATTCTTCTTCACTTTTGCCGATAGATTTTTCACTCCTTCCCGAAGAATTTTCTCCATTTTCAGTCGACATATCTCCATTATTACCTCCTTCTCTAACATCAATTGAAAATTCTTCATCTTTAGAATTTTCCCCTGAAAACTTCAACCCGTCAGAATCAGCTTTCTTGGTTTCCATTGCTGTAATCTGAAAAACAGCGAAATCTTAACCTTAAATTTAGGTCATATTTTATAATTATTACAAAACGTCGTATTTTTCTAAAATCCAAAAACAAATTCTTTTTATCACAATTAAGTTACAAGAAATCGAAACACTAACATTTATCAAATGATAAAATCTATTAAAAAACGTGTGCAGTGTATCCTACAACTTTATGTTAACATTTAGAAGAGAATACAATAAGGAATTAAACCATATAAAACAGTCTTCCATATTTAAATATTATGCTCGGACACCCTTCTTATAACAATCTGGGAGATCTCCTGAATGTTCCCTCGTCTCTTAGCTCCGCCTTATATGGTCGGTAGGCGGAGTATGGTTTCTTGTTGGGGTGTGACGTGGCGTAGTTCTCTCCGCCCTATATGGTCGGTATGCGGAGTATGGTTTCTTGTAAGGGGTGTGACGTGGCGTAGTTCTCTCCGAATTCGCCCCCTGCACTCGTTCAGCCAGGACTCATGAGAAGGTCGGATTCGATGCTGTGTGTCCTTCAGACGAGGATGTTTTGGTTAAGTATTCTCAGCCTCCGCTACAGCAGGTTTCCTCTTCTCCTTCTTACTGGTTGCCGTTTGGTCAGAGTGATCTAAAACAAAAATATATTTAAATATTTTGCTTTTATGTTTGTATTCCATAAACGTGGATAAACGAATAAACTGATCATCACACTAATCCCCAGGGAAGGTTTATTTAATGTCAAAATTTATTAACAATAGGCTTTAAGGGTGCTTCGCGCCCATCTTCTATTTAATTGTGAACATTCTATCTTTGTATCATAGTAAAACAATAACAAAAAATGTTAGTGGATTTTATAAAATTTAATTAAAATCGAATTTTGTTGGAGGTAAGTTATGAAATTTTTATCACCCATGAACCTTTCCTTCGGTCATGTGAGGTCCCACACAAAATAGGGGTCCAATCAGTTGAGCCGTTTTGGCGTTTATTCATTCAAACGATAAACAAAAACAAACAGACAAGGAAAGTATATTTATAAAAATATGACCCTCCGTATTTTAAAATCAGTGTTGATTAAATCTTAATTCTAATCGCAGAAAAAGAATTAAAACGTCTATTTTGAAGAGTGGAAACGGGTTTTGAAATATTTGATAGTTAAGGGATAGTCTAGATAAATTAACAAAAACAGACAAGTTCTTTCACCCATTTTCTACTGTTCACCCAAAAATTTCTAAAAACCATTTTTTCCTCAATTCAAAGACAAAATACTCATTTTTTAAAAACCCCTGAAATCAGTATGTTTATAACCTACTTGATAAAAATCTAAAAGTTATGAATTTCAAGACCGTTTAACATTAGCATTAATGTTTTGACATTCTCTAAGCGGACTTCTAACATCCTCATTGTAACCTTACTCCCCCTCTATAACCTACTCAACAGACCTACCTCCTATCCTTAACCTACTAATCAACCGACCTACCTCCCCTCCATAACCTGCAAATCAACCGACCTACCTCCCCTCTTTAACCTAGTCAACCGAACTACCTCCCATCTCCTCTCCATAACCTATTCAACAGACCTACCTTCCATCCTTAACCTACTAATCAACCGACCTACCTCCCCTCCATAACCTGGTAATCAATCGACCAACCTCCCCTCCATTTATACTTACTTATCAACCGACCAACCTCCCCTCCATTTATACCTACTTATCAACCGACCAACCTCCCCTCCATTTATACCTACTTATCAACCGACCAACCTCCCCTGTAACCTACCGTTTGTCCCGCAGGATATTCCTGTTTAGTGGATTGTTCCTTCTCCAAGAACCTTGTAGATATCCTGAACATAGTCCACAGCAAGCTGGGGATCTCCAATATCATCCTGAAAATCCGCGAAATTACATTTATTTTAATTACTAGCTGAAGGGTCCGGCGTTGCCCATGAAAAAAAAAGATTTTGAAAAAAAACTGGGAAAAAAAATATCGATTTTTTTTATCCTATAACACCCCCCGGCCACCCAAGAGTGCCCACAACAAATTTCAGCCCAATCGGTCCAGCCGTTTGGCCGGCTATACGCAACATATATAAATATTTTAATGTCTAGTTTAATTATATAGATTTGTATTACATCTAGTCTAGAAGTTCTTGAATGGGGTTGAACAAAAGTTATAGTAACTGAAAAGTCTAATTTATGACAAAAAATGCGAATTTAAATTTGACGGAACTTTTTGTAGTTTCAAGTTATTCTCCAATTTTAGAGTGACATGTCCCGAATCACAATGGTACCTCATTTATCTCGTTCATTATTATTAAATTTAAAGGTTAAAAAGGTATGGGAATCAAACATCCATTCAACATTTTTGAAATCAACTGACCTTGTCGATGTCCTCAATCTCTGGAACTGCGATATTTATTCCGGAGACGTAAATCTCCTACGCCTCGTCCTTCAAAACATACATCTTCTTATCTTCCTTCTTCAATTTCTCTTCAACCTGAACAATAAAAACAAATATATTTATTTTATATATTTTCCTAAAAAATCAACTCCCCTCTGTCCCTCTTCTTTGAAATCTTTTATATACTTACTAAGATAGGCATGAAAATCTGTAATTGGAGGGTCAGTTCAAATTTCTGCGAGTAAAAAAAATTCGGCGCCACATACTCCGATGTGGCTTGCTACAAATATCTTTTGTGAAATAAAATAAAAAATCTTATATTTTTGAACTTAATGAGTTTTCCTTGTCTCTGATATCTCCCAGAACACCCCTGGTTCCCCTGGGAGCAGGTTGAATATACTGTTTGCCGTCAATCTGTCCTCTATCATATTTATAGCTAGGTTGGAGACGGTCAACACACGGGCTCTGCTAGTTGGCATTTTTATTACTAAAAAAAGAGAGAAGTGATATAAATGGTCATTTCCTTAAAATATTTAAATTTTACATAAAATGACACAACGGTAAGTAAGCAATATAATAAGGGATGGCACAATTTATAATATAAAAATAATCAACAAATTTTCAATTTAGGCTTCCTAATAAAAAACAAAACAAANCCCGTGTCCCCCTCCTATCAATTTTGTACATAGGTCTGAAAGGAAGTGTCTTAACTTAACCTAACCCTTGGCCGCATCGCTCGGCCCCCTAGCCCATCCTAGCCACGGCGCTAGGCCCAGAAAGTGTCTTAACCTAACCTAACCCTAAATAACAAAAAAATAAATAATAAATTTGCTGAAAAATAAATGGTCATGTACAAAATTCGTTCCTGGGACAGACCCTTAAATCTTGAAACGATGGTTTAAAGTTTAATCTGATCGCGCGAAATTTTGTGTCTGAAAATAAACTGATCATGAAGCTGAACATGTTGATTTGTACCGATATATTAACCGACCTATTTATTATTATTTTCGTGAACACTTTTTCGGTTTCAAATTAACCTAAATAATTTGCAGGAAGAAGTCCAACGATCATGCTGCGAAATTGCTTTCTGCTTACAATAAACATTGAAAATTTAAATATCCTATAATCCTTCTCTTAAGTTTTCCGCGAAGAATTGCGTAATCAGAGGCCTCCTTCCTGCCGCCTGTGATAGGTCAGATATTCAATCATCTGTTAAATCTGACCAATGAGAGACAAGGTAACAGCTCTACCGCCAGAAGCCGTTCCTTCCATTTACAACAATGGCCGACAACTTGACGTCTTCTATATCGGTCGTCAAATGTACGGATAAATTATCTTTCTATTGAGACATCTACCGCATCTAACGGCCAACAAATCGTCCCAGAATTACGTAAACTACAGGGTGTCCCACATCATATTAGACCGTCAATGGGTCTAAAATTGCGATGGGCTAATAAGAAAATTGAATTAGAATAAATCAATTTGAAAAATAACATAAGGCTTATATAATAATTTTCTTGCGGAAAATGATAAGTTTTTCGAGTATTAAGGGTTTATTTTGTCGTTAAAGATTAGAGATAATCTAATATGATATGGGAAACTCTGTAGTACACCACTATCTGTAGAGATCATAGAGAGAACGGGCTCAATTGAAAAAAGCATTATGATTAAATGTCGTCTTTGAATATTTGACATTTTTAAATTATGTAACAGAATAACAAACATCGGTCGGTGAATATTTGTTTGAACTATTGAATTGGTCGTTGGGTTATATCAGGTTATGTCGGGTTATTCGGGTTACCTAACTGCAGTCTCATACATGGTCCAATCCACTTGGAATTGGTCAAGTTGTAGCAAAAATGCAAAATTCATATTGTATTTAAAGGAACTGTAACGGAAAAATGAAAAGGGGTACCTGCAAGTAACAATTTTGCGGAAATTAACAGGAAAGATTCCTGGGAATCCGCGGAAATTCCCAGGAATCTTTCGCAGAAAAATAGGTGAAACTGTCGACAGCTATTCCAAGGAATTTCTTATAACCCGGCCATTCCACGGAACCAATATGGCCTGAAGAATTTTTGTAACCCATTTGGAGAAAATTCTCATAACTCTATCCAAGGAATTTCTTGTAACCTGCAATTCCAGGAAATTTCTTGTTACCAATTCTGCAGAAAAATCGTCGAAAATGTCGACAAAGTTTGTGGAAATTCTTTGGAATTTTCAGAGAAAGTTTGTCGGAACCAATTCCAGGGATTTTCCTGGTAACTATTCCCAAGATTTTCTCAAGAGTTCCTCAGGAATCCTTTTTGAGAAAAGCGGAACTTGAAAGTTCTGTGATGAATTCCTGAGAAGTACTCAGGAATTTCCGGAGAAATTAACTTATTATAAGGTCTGTTTAAACTATATATTTGGTGTTCCTCATGTTCATATTGGACTACTGAATTCACAAGTTGAGTCTAAAAGTCGACTTCCATTCGTGAGTTTTCTAGCTATCACTGTACTAAATTTGTTTCATTTTAATAATATAGAATGATCTTCTGCTATGATAAAGGTAAAAATAACGCATATCTCATTTTCATAAAAAATGCCAAATATTTACGGAAAAAATTTTTCAGATTTCAATAAACAAAATTTTCTTCTCCAGTGGTATGGCAATTATATAAAAAAAATAAAACGAATTTGAATTTAAATTTTTTTCAAGCTTTTATCGAATTACAGTTTATACACGTTTAAGGCAAGCTTTTCTTTTGACAGCTTTCAATTGTTTCCATGTTTGTGTATCCTTGCTGTTTAACAGCTTTTGATATAAATCTAAGTAAATTTATTACTGTATTCATATACAGGGTGTCACACGAAATATGACGTAGCAAGACGACTTGAACGCCGTTTTAGACTTTTTATTATAAATTACTGCATTTTTTGTCAATAATCTAGTCTTAGTATTTCCAAAATGTACTTTGGTATTTTTTGTACTTTCAATATTACCCGAGATATGAAAATTTCGTTCAAATTTCGACAATTTTATTTTTTTAGCAAAATCAAAATCTTATTATCTCCAGATAATATCGACGGCATAAAAAGGCAGACCACATTATGGAAATCCCAGGAATAGGAGAATTTTATGGTTAATGTTTGCAGAATCATAAATGTTTAAGTAGGTTTAACGACTTAATTTGTCCCATGTAAATTCCAAGAACAAAACAACATTCCAGTCGATCTTGTTACCGTCATGTTTCATGGAACACCCTGTTTATGCGACGACGATTGTACAACAGGATGAAATTTTATAGGCTACAATCTTCGCAACGGCCTGTAAATTGTTCTGCCTATTAATAAAGGGGTTGCTTAGAGACTCCACATTTCAAGACGTTCTTTTAACTATTTTTTTTCTAAGATCACGGGAAAGAATTTGCCGACAAAAGTACATCATTAATATCTGTAGGAATAAATACTGCTAACTTAAGATTACATCATACATCATATCGTCAAAAACTAAACGCATATAAATATATAATTCTAATATAATTATTTTATTGATAAAATATATATTCTTATAGTATAAAAAAGCACTGATGCATCGATACAAAAATACAATTTAACAAAATACAAAATCGGGAACCTGTCAATTAAACTTGTTGGTTAATTCAAGTAAAACTTTGTAATGCAAAATGTTGACACTGTACATATAGGGCAGTGAAGCATTAATAACATTCTAGTATAAAATGTCGAATTTCAAGGGGTTAGTCGTCTTCAAACTTCAACATTGGTCGTCTTCATACTACTTTTCAAGGCAAGTAGTCTGCACAATAACAGCGGTCACCTAAATGATTAATTAAAAAAATTTGAAATTTTAACAGTTTGAAATAAACCCAACAAACCCAACGGGGCATTTCTTATGTTATTTTTAAGTCAGCCTTTTCTGGATTCCATCAGCAAAACTGTTGTAGTCATATATTTCATAAAATTTGCTTACCCTGTAGGGATCGCAGTTAGAGGATGGTCTTCGGTCCTCCAGGTATCCGTATCCTTGTTCAGCAACCTCCCTGGTCATAGAATTGTTAATTTTCGTTTGGGTTTACTTTTAAACTTGAAACAAAACTTCCAAGATTTTAAAATTGTTAAGTCTGCTTTTATTAATTTTTGCTTTTAATGGTAAAAGGATCCTAAAATGATTGTTAAAACACAATCGTTTTTGGATCGTTTTTGGATCGTTTTTGGATACATCTTCTGCCATGTTCAAAATTTTACATAGTATAAGAAAGAAAAGTGTTTAGAATAAACAATTTTACAAACATTTGCTTTTCTTACGCTTTGCCCAAAGTTGACCTGGAACGTAAATTTATGGGAAAAAATCGACCCAATGTACATGACTACCTGGGAATACGGATACTACAGCCTCTGTTAGCAACTCCAGCGGAGAAATCGTGAATAGACGAAGTCTCGTGGGCCCCGGTCAACCTACGCTCGTTATCCTCCACAAATAATTATGATAAAGGGACTGTGCGTGTAAATTACAGGAACCCACCATTTAACGAGTAGCAGATCCTTTTCAGATCCCTCTAGATCAAAGATAAGCGGGATTTAACTCCAAATTATTTATAATCTATTTGTACATTTATCTGCAGATACAATCAAAGGGAACCGTTGTGAATCGGACATGCGACGCGTTAAATGGAGAGTTATTTAAAAATACGCAACATTTAGGAAATATTTTATGACATCGCTTTAGCTGTTATAGAACTTTAACCAAGAAAAAATGTTCGGAAAATTTTGATATTATTTTAACATTTTTGTAAAAACTCTTTTACCTTTCCATCCCTAGGATCGTAAGCCCTAATATGCCTGATGTGATGCTTAGACATTTTATCAATAGCCTCCTCGATAGCTTTCATTCCTCCTGGTACTCTCATAGCTTCAGTTGAGAAGTTAGTATGAGCTCCGGCTCCGTTCCAGTCTCCAGTCATAGGTTTAGGATCTAGAGAGACAACCACTCCAAACTCTTCTGCTACCCTAGAAAAAGACAATAATTTTTTACAAGATCAAATAGAGTTCAACAGATGGTTACTAAAAACGGACTGTACGCGTAGCTTCAAGTGATCCTAAATGCAAAAATGCCTGATTTACAACATTACCCTTAAAAAAGCGTCGTCTGATCTGTAGCATGAATTATATATGCATGACTTTATTTATTTAATCTGTTAATTTTTATTTGTGGTTTTGCTTGTCAAGTAGCAATGGAGAAAACAACGGTATCATCCACAGTTTTGATCAAGGGTTGCATCAGTTTTATGTCGGGTATTGCCATTTGCATGGATGGTCACTTGACATTGCGCTTATAGTCCCTTTAAGCATTATAATTTATGTAAGAATAACCCGCAAACGATCTCTAGGTTGAATAAAGCCTTCTGCCTTGCATATAATCTTTTATGAAACTATTATGTGCTTTATCATTCTTTCTCACTTCATCGTGAATTTTATAATGAACGTGCTATAAAGTAATTATCATGCTATAAAGTTAAATTAGCAATATATTATAGCACGTGTGCTATAAAGTTTTGGTAGGTTTCCGGATTTTCTTCAAACAAATTAGGAAATTTTCAAAAAATTTTTTTCAATTGAAATAAAAATAAAATTGAAATCAACTTTATATATTTTCTTCTGCTATGTTTCAAAGCTTATTTGATCTAAAAATAGCCATTTCATAAAATTACCAGTAACACTATTATTTTGGCAGAACGTGCTATACAGTTTTGGTCTTAAATTTTCTCAATTTTGACAAAACAAGAACTAAAGTTTACTCTTTAAAGTTTCATTTTTCAAACTTCAAATAGAAAAATTTAAAAAGTTCAAAGACGACCTTTAATAATTCAACACTTATGATGGAAAACCAACGCTGATATCTTCCCCTATAAGTTGTTCAGATTAAGATCTAAATGGAACCTGGTGTAAATCGGAAGTGAATTAATAAAATTTAATTTTAACCTGTGCAAAATGTATCTAGCGACCCAGAGATCATCTCCCATATCAATTCCTTCTGTTGGTCCAACCTTGGGTTAAATAGTGGATCGATTAAAAGAAATTCATGATTGATCAAATGTAATCAATTATTATTAATTTTATTCCATTTTAATCAATTTTATTTACCCATTTATTTATACCCAAATATGATGCATTTTAGTCAAATCCCAATTGATCAATAATATTAAGTAAGTAATCATTGATCATCAAAATTAATGGTAATTTCATAGAGAAAAAGTGGTTGAAAAAGTGGTCATGTACAAAATTGAAAATCGTTCTCTAAGACGGACCCAAATTAATATAATTATAAAAGCAAAACAAACCGAATTAGACAAAATTAGAACACTGGAACTAACATTAGACCAGTTAAAAATAAAACCTGACATTTCTTCAATGATTAATAAAGCAAATAACCAAGGAAATGAGTCTTTCCCACAAACTCTGATTTGCTAATCCAAATATTTTTCCCCCCAATGGGATTGGGGGGATGAATGCAAGGGTAGGATAAGGATGGGGGGATGGAGTTGTAAAATAAACAAGATTAATCGAGTTTAAACTTGTTATACAAGTTTTAGACCAGACCATCGCTTGATTTCATTTATACAGGGTGTAATAATAAAATCTGAAAACATTTATAATTTCACTACACAGGGTGTCCTAATAAAAGCAGAAAACGTTTATAATTTCACGACACAGGGTATAAAAGAAGAAAACATTTATAATTTCAATGCACAGGATGTCCTAATAAAAGCAGAAAACATTTATAATTTCACGACACAGGGTATAAAAGCAGAAAACATTTATAATTTCACTACACAGGGTGTCCTAAAAAAAAGCAGAAAACATATATAATTTCACTACACAGGGTGTTCTAAAAAAAAGCAGAAAAAAATTTATAATTTCACTATCGAGAGTGTCCTGATAAAATCTGAAAACTTTTATGATTTTACTACACAGGGATATATCAATTTTAAAGTTTTTTTAAAAGCGGAAACGGTTTAAAAAATATGCGGAAACGGACCTAAAATATGGGAATCCCCTCAAAAATATTGGGAAATCCCTCGAAAATATTTTATTTAAATAAAGCGGAAATGGATCTAAAATTTTGGTAAATCGATCTAAGAAAAAAGAAAACTCCTCAAAATCTGACTTTAGAGGAATTTCCGAAAACTCTAAGAAATTGCGGAAAAATATCAAAACTGAGTAATTTGAAGGGTTTCTGCTAATTTTAGAATACTTTCCGTGTTAGCACGTTTCCATGTCACCCAGGGTGTCCTAATAAAACTGAAAATTTTATGATTTTTTTTACACAGGGTGTCCTAATAAAAACTGAAAACTTTTATGATTTTACTAAACAAGGTGTCCTAATTAAAGCTGAGCACATTTATGATGTCACTATACCAGTAAAAACAGAAGACATTAATGATTTCAATATACTGGATGTCCTAGTAAAAAGAAAAAACATTGTGTTTTCATTATAAAGGGTGTCCTAGTGAGAAAAAAAATTACGTAAATTTTTAACTAACCTGGAACTCCCATTGGGCGGGCATAACTTCAGCATTTGTACCAGATACCCTAAACAAAATTATTTTTTAGTAGAATAATCACACTTCTATAATTCAACTATGAAGCAAAAATCATAGAAGGGGGGGGGGAGAGTAGTTGGAATCCACCCCCCCCTGCTATATTAAACAAAAATTGCTGCCCAAACGGATAAGGGTTAAAACCTTAGAAACTTTGTATTTAAACAGGTTTCCTCATTGCGCAAGATTAATATAACATCCCTCCCCCCCTTCCTTCCCGGGGTTAGCGGGTGAAAAAGTCAATTTTAAACAATATTTTTCACCGAGATTGAGTAAATTGGGAAGGTTCGTGTTTTTGTTTGTTGAAATTAAGTTTTTTAAAGGCTTAGTTAATGATTATTTCTGAATTTAATATTTCATAAGATTTTAATCCAATATATTATCGAGTATAAGTGCAATTTCAAATGACCATATTCCATGAAAAAGGCAATGCCCGATTTACAACGGTACAAAAAAGTTTTTTTTTTCTAATCCAGTATGAATTATAAATAATTATTATAAAGGGGATGGTGGAGTTGGCACAACTAATTAGGCGTGCACCAAAAAAATTGGAAGATTTGAACCAAAAATGAAGGCAGGGCCCCCCCCCCCCTACATCAAATGTGCCAACTCCACCATCCCCTTTGAAAATTGATTATTTTAAATTATGTTCTCTCTGCTCCAGGAGATGTTATCAGAATAACACTTTTAAACTTAGAAAATCAACAATAGCTTCCATTTTATAGATCATGCAGATAGAGGTTTCAAGAGTACGTACATATCACTTAAATTTACGCTACCAGATTCTTTGAAGGAAAGAACATAATGAGGTCTAACGTAGAATTTCGAGGGGTGGAGGAGGGGGGCCACTAAAATTCTGGAATTATCTCTCCCCCCCCATCCCGCTTTCAATTTCTAGGAATTAAAAAATCAAGATATCGATATAAATAGGATAAGGGGGGGGGGAGTTAAAGTACACGTAAATCTTGAAAAATAAATCACCACCCTTCTTCCCCTCCCTCTAGTTAAATTCTAAGAATTACTAACTAATAAGTTCGAGATATGTGGGGTTAAAACAGGTTTTTTTTCATTATAAACATACAACATCATTTATTAGTTACAATTCCTACGATGATATGGGTAAATAGAAAAAGATGGGATGGGTAAATACATTAAATGGGATGGGTAAATAGATTTAGATGAGATGGGTAAATAGAAAAGATGGGATGGGTAAATAGAAAAAGAAAGGATGGGTAATTAGAAAAAGATGGGATGGGTAAATATATTTAGATGGGATGGGTAAATAGAAAAGATGGGATGGGTAAATAGAAAAAGATGGGATGGGTAAATATATTTAGATGAGATGGGTAAATAGAAAAAGATGGGATGGGTAAATAAATTAAATGGGATGGCTGAATAGATTTAGATGAGATGGGTAAATAGAAATAGATGGGATGGGTAAATATAAATAGATGGGATGGGTAAATATATTTAAATGGGATGGGTAAATATATTTAAATGGGATGAGTAAATAGAAAAAGATGGGATGGGTAAATATATTAAATGGGATGGGAAAATAGATTTAGATGAGATGGGTAAATAGATTTCAATGGGATGGGTAAATATATTTAAATGGAATGGGTAAATATATTTAAATGGAATGGGTAAATATATTTAAATGAGATGGGTAAATTTATTTAAATGAGATGGGTAAATATATTTAAATGAGATGGGTAAATATATTTAAATGGGATGGGTAAAGGGAAACAAATTTTATATTTGAAAAACCATTTTAAACATTTGTTTTGAACGAGATGCTTAAATTGTAATTGAAGTATTTTTTTTAAAAATAGTATGACATGGTAAATGAACAATATGTTTAAATATTTTACCTGGGCCAGAAGAGTGTACTCCTGTTCTATTCCAAACCAAGGGTGATCATCCTTAGCCTTGGTCATTATCTCAAGGCATTGCTACAACATAGAGCAAATTAAGACACGCCTACAATATCAAGAAAATTTAGAGGCGCCTACAATATCAAGAAAATTTAGAGGCGCCTACAATATCTAGAAAATTTAGACAAGCCTACAATATCTAGAAGATAAGACACGCTTAAAACAATAAAATTAAGAAAAGCCTACAATAATAAAATCAAGATACGCCTCATCCGACATCAGAAAAAGACACGCCTACAATCATAAAATTAAATCACGCCTATACACCAAGAAAGCAATCACGCTTACAACACCAAGAAAATTTTACACGCCCTAAATTAGGACACGACTAACTATAAGACAATTAAGACACAACTAACAATAAGACAATTAAGACGCGCCTAACAAAGACAATTAAGAAATGCCTAACTATAAGACAATTAAGACACGACTAACTATAAGACAATTAAGACAGGCCTAAATATAAAATAATTAAGACACGACTATACAACAAAACATTTTCGCCGCACCTAAATTTTACACGCTTAAACTGTTGAGAAATTTAAGACACGCCTACAATTCATAGAATGAGTTAAAACACGCCTACAATACATAGAATGAGTTAAGACAACCCTACATCATCAAGAAAATTAAAGCACAAAAAAAATTGAGACACTTCTTCAACAGAAAAATCAAGTCTTCAAGCTTACAAATTTAGAAACGCTATGGGGGTAAAAATTAAAAGTTAACGCAGACATTAAAAAAAGTATAAGTTCATGAAGAGAGGCATAAACAAATCAAAAACACATTTTAGAAACAAGAAAATCAAGAAATAAACATTTTAGAAACAGGAAAATCAAGGAATACACATTTTAGAAACAGGAAAATCAAGGAATACACATTTTAGAAACAGGAAAATCAAGGAATACACATTTTAGAAACAGGAAAATCAAGGAATACACATTTTAGAAACAGGAAAATCAAGGAATACACATTTTAGAAACAGGAAAATCAAGGAATACACATTTTAGAAACAGGAAAATCAAGGAATACACATTTTAGAAACAGGAAAATCAAGGAATACACATTTTAGAAACAGGAAAATCAAGGAATACACATTTTAGAAACAGGAAAATCAAGGAATACACATTTTAGAAACAGGAAAATCAAGGAATACACATTTTAGAAACAGGAAAATCAAGGAATACACATTTTAGAAACAGGAAAATCAAGGAATACACATTTTAGAAACAGGAAAATCAAGGAATACACATTTTAGAAACAGGAAAATCAAGGAATACACATTTTAGAAACAGGAAAATCAAGGAATACACATTTTAGAAACAGGAAAATCAAGGAATACACATTTTAGAAACAGGAAAATCAAGGAATACACATTTTAGAAACAGGAAAATCAAGGAATACACATTTTAGAAACAGGAAAATCAAGGAATACACATTTTAGAAACAGGAAAATCAAGGAATACACATTTTAGAAACAGGAAAATCAAGGAATACACATTTTAGAAACAGGAAAATCAAGGAATACACATTTTAGAAACAGGAAAATCAAGGAATACACATTTTAGAAACAGGAAAANCTAATATAGAAATAAAGAAAACTAATATAGAAAAGAAGACTGCATTAATTTTAAAGTTTTATATTTAAAGTTTTATATTTCTATATATTTAATTTGCTTCATTGAACGCTTATGTTTTTGTTTTTTTTCAAAATCGGGTTTAATGACAATCCGGAAAAGTGGTAAAGCCCTCTAAAGCTCTCAAATCCAACCATTAGGTCATGTAATAAGTTCTATCTATCTATCGTAGGCCCCAATAAACAATACCCATACGTATATTAAGTAATAAACCGCGAAATTCAATTTCGGAATTAAATATTTTAGCAATCAACGTCGATATAAATGAAACTATCAATCAAACCCATCTTTAAAACAAATTTGATAAAATATAAAAATTCTAATAAGAGAACTTTTGAGAAATATTTGACCTTTCTATGATTGGTATCAGTGGGTTCTTTGTTGTATTTATAAGTTTCACACATCACAAGGATATTGTCTCCTAGCCTGAAAAAAAACTCATTTAAAAAAATCTGTTCAGAGATGAAAACTATAGAATTATCATTTATTCCTGACTAGCCTGCAAGTCAAAAAGTCAAAAAGGTATGAAAAATGTTTAACTTTGTGACCTTGTTGCTCCTCTAATTTTGATTCCCCCCCAAGTATGAGAAAAGAAATTAATTTAAGCACATATTAGAGCTACAAAGGTTTTGTTATTCTCAATGGCTATTCAGAAAGAGGAGTAATTAATGAAAACATGTTATTTTCTAAGATAGGGTCACATCAACTAACTGTACATGGATAGATAATAAGATACAAAGCTACACAACGTGAAATAAACTTTTTACTTTTAAACATAAAAGCCACCTGAAGGGGTCAGGATAGATTTTGACCGGGTGGAGGTAGGTGTCAGAGTTCTTTCCTTCAGCCTGAAATATGTATCTATATACTAAAGCTCTTCGCTCATCAAAATATATACTTTGCTTGTCTGTCTGTTTTGGTGTTTGTCTGTTTGTTTGCAAACAATAAACGTCAACATAACGGCTGATGGTCGAATTTTTATAGTTGGCTAAACGGCTGAAATTTATTTTAGGGAACCCGGCCATGGGGCAAATCGTAATTTAATTTTTCATTGTGTTTTTTAAAATTCAACAGGCAAGAATAATAAACAAGGCGTTTTGGGCGCTTCGCGCCCATCTCATATTTCAATGGTGAACATTTTCTTTGTATATATTGTAGAACGAAACAAAAAAGCTGGTAGATTTTAAAAAAAAAATTTCGTGGATTTTTTTTAATGTAAATTGAATTTTGTTGAGATGTAAATATTTGAAATTTTGATCATTCATAAGCCTTCTCTGAAGACACGTGAAGTCTCGCACAAAATTTGGGCCCGATCGGTTCAGCCGTTTTGATGTCTATTGGATAAAAACAAACAGACAGCAGGCAAAGTACATAGATTAACGAACTAGGGAACCTTCATATGAAAAGTTGTATATCTTTACAAATTTGTTTCATGAAAACTAATTGAATTATATTTTTTTTGATTCTAATGTTTAGTCAAGCTTCCTAGACAATTGAATTCCGGAATTTTGCAGCAGAGGCAATGTAGAAAAGGAAATCTTTGGAAGATAGAAAAATGGCTATTTATTTTTTATTGTTAATCGGATAAAGGGTTAAACGGAACTTCGGACAGTTTTGAACTTTAAACATTTTGAATTCAGGGTCACTAAAAAATAGGCCAACAGTCCCTTTCACAAGAAATTCGTCCCTGATTTTTAAAACATTAAAATACAAAACTGTGCCAAATTCTGGAATGTGACATTAATATTTTAAGTTAATAGTTAATTTCTGTAATTCCGGAAAATTAAATCGGAAATACTAACATTAAGATTTTGTTATGTTATCGTTTTCGTTATTGTTGTTAATGCTGTTGTTATATCTATTATCATTGTTTTTGTTGTTGTTATAATTGCAGTTAATGTTGCTATAGTTGTAGTTAATATTGTTGCTATTGCTAATCTTGTTAATGTTGTTGTTGATGGTGTTGTTAATGTTGTTGTTAATGTTGTTGTTGATGGTGTTGTAGATTTTGTTGTTGATGTTGTTGTTAATGGTGTTGTTAATGCTGTTGTTATTTCTATTATCATTGTTTTTGTTGTTGTAGTTAATATTGTTGCTATTGCTAATCTTGTTAATGTTGTTGTTGATGGTGTTGTTAATGTTGTTGTTAATGTTGTTGTTAATGTTGTTGTTGATGATGTTGTAGATTTTGTTGTTGATGTTGTTGTTGAAATACTAACATTAAGATTTTGTTAAGTTATCGTTTTCGTTATTGTTGTTAATGCTGTTGTTATTTCTATAATCATTGTTGTTGTTATAATTGCAGTTAATGTTGCTATAGTTGTAGTTAATGTTGTTGCTATTGTTAATCTTGTTAATGTTGTTGTTGATGGTGTTGTAGATGTTGTTGTTGATGTTGTTGATGGCGTTGGGGATGTTGTTGTTGTTGGTGTTGTTATTAATCACCTGATAAGTTGAGCTTCCATCATAGTTCCAGATTGGTAGTTCAGAAACATCAGCTGGTTTCTTCTCTAAGGTCTTAGTTTTAGCCCTTAAACCTTCTCCTGTTCCATCTATCCAGATATACAGGGCTTGAACCCTGAATAAAAAAAACTTAAAATAATTTTGGAAAGAAATTTCAATGTATTTCGCACAATATCAAACCAAATTTGTGAGTTAAAGGTTCACACAATGTTCTAAATTTCAAAAACTTTTGTTATTTTGATTTTTGATATAACGAACAAAAGTAATGGTTTCTTCTAATAGTGCACTATAAAAATATTCAGTAACAGTTTACACTGCTTTTGATTTGAACAAATAATAAGATGGAGATGTAAAAGTTTTCTTATTCGATATAAATATGTATTATTTAATTCCCTTGACAACCTTTGATCCTAAAATATGTATTATTTAATTCCCTTGACAACCTTTGATCCTAAAATATACTTAGATGTTTCAGCCTGAAAAGATAATTTTGTTTATCTTCGATAATTTTATTTTTAAAAGAAATATGCAGATTCATTTCTGCAAAGATTTTTTATATTTAACGTGGGTGAAATAAATTAGTTGAGTTTAATTACGTTTGGGTTGAGTTTGGGCTGAATTTGGGTTGAGTTTCGGTTGAGTTTCGATCATTACGTTTGAGTTGAGTTTGGGTTGAATTTGGGTTGAGTTTAGGTTGAATTAGGGTTGAGTTTGGTTGAGTTTCGATTAAGTTACGGTCATGTTACGTTCAAGTTACGGTCAAGTTACGGTCAAGTTACAGTCAAGTTATGGTCAAGTTTCGGTCAAGTTTCGGTCAAGTTTCGGTCAAGCTTCGGTCAAGTCTCGGTCGAGTCTCGGTCGAGTCTCGGTCGAGTTTGGTCGAGTTTTGGTCGAGTTCCGGTCGAGTTTCGATCGAGTTTCGGTCGAGTTTTGGTCAAGTTTTGTTCGGGTCGAGTAGTTGAGTTTAGGTTAGGTTTAGGTTAGGTTTAGGTTAAGTTTAGGTCGAGTTTACGTCGAGTTTAGGTTAAGTTTAGGTCGAGTTTACGTCGAGTTTAGGTTAAGTTTAGGCTAAGTTTAGGCTCAGTTTAGGCTCAGTTTAGGCTAAGTTTAGGCTAAGTTTAGGCTAAGTTTAGGCTAAGTTTAGGCTAAGTTTAGGCTAAGTTTAGGCTAAGTTTAGGCTAAGTTTAGGTTAAGTTTAGGTTAAGTTTAGGTTAAGTTTAGGTTAAGTTTAGGTTAAGTTTAGGTTAAGTTTAGGTCGAGTTTAGGTTAAGTTTAGGCTAAGTTTATGTTGAGTTTAGTTTAAGTTTAGGTTAAGTTTAGATTCAATCAAGATTATTTTAGGTTCTGAGTATAAAAACTGTTTTTATTACTGCAATGTTAGAATATTTACTATGAGAAATATTGTTTACCTCCCACCCTGGGGCAAATCCAGGAACTTTTTTAGAACCAACTTGTCAGTTTGGGCGTTGTTGTTCTGCATGATGCTGAAAAAAATTCAAAATTATTTGAAGATATAAAAACATTGAGGTTTTGATCCTTTTACAAAACAAATTCGCTTTAAAGATTTTTCCACAAACATTTCTTGTTATCTGATTTATTTCTTGACGAAATCTTAAGAATGGTTTAGATGAACATGTAAATTAAAAGACAATTTCTGAACCTCATCAAGGTTTAAGAAATAATAAAGAAGGAGTTATATGAGTGTACAAGGACATTTGATGGAATACTACAGATAAATAATTATCATCTTATCTCTTAACTTTCATATGTTGAGAGTAGGGTTTCCATTTTTCCGGAATAAATTTTAGCTCAATGTTAAACAGGAAAGCAATGTTAAAACATTAAAATTTACAGTTACAGTTTTCACTTTCTCTACAATATTTTTGACAAATTAGTTTTTATTTTTCAGGAGGGTCATCGAATAGGCTAGCCCCCTCCGTATTTGATCAGGATGGGATAAAATGAACCATATAAAGAAGAGTTTGTAAAAACTAGGCTTTACAATGGTGAATTAAAAAACAAACATTTTTGCCGCACAAACTTTTAGATTAAAGTTATGACTTTAAATGGTTCTTTGAACATGAGACTCGATGATTACGTAGGGCATATACTTTAGATTTTTGGGACAAAAAATCGTCCGGGAAATTGTTCCGGAATTCCGGATTTCCGGGACCTTTCCCCAAATGGAAATTGAAAAAAGTTCCAAAACATTTCCGTAGGTAAGCATAACCCGGAATTCTGGTGGAAACCCTAATTGAGAGTAAACTGACAATATATATATATATTTAAACTCGTCTCCAGGCAACTTTAAACAAACACTTTTTTGTGGTTAACATGGAAAATTTTGATATATTAAAAAACATTATTCTCCAAAAGTTGTTCTTTTGGTAAAAATGTTGTCCTGAAAATGTTGTCCTGAAAATGTTGTCCTGAAAATGTTGTCCTGAAAATGTTGTCCTGAAAATGTTGTCCTGAAAATGTTGTCCTGAAAATTTGTGTCAAAATTTTATTTTTAATAATTTGAACGTTTAACTCAATTTTTATTTATTTACTATATTCTCAAACTTTAAATGAGTTTCTTCAAAGTCTAAAACCTTAATAATTGTATGAATTCTTTTTTGTTCTGTTTTACAGCGAAAAAAAAGAAAAATTCACTTATAAGAAAAACACTACTAGACATTCAAAGATGTCAAAGTGATTTAGAGTTTATAAAATGCTAAATGTACACAATTCAGTACATTTGTGTACAAGTGTACAACTATTTTAATTCGTGTACTTTGTTCAGTAGATTTGTAGAGTCCAAAACTTTAGGGTTATCAAAACAGAATAAAATTGCCAAGTAAATATAATTATTTAAAAATCCGGTAAAATGTTCGCTGAAAATGAGTAAACGTCTAATTCAATTTGGAATTGGAAACCCTACGGTTTGAGTCCGTCCTTGGGTGAAGGATTTCACCGAATGAAAAGATTACCGTAATATGACCTCAGAATATGAAATAATTATAATGAAAATGAATTTTTCTGTTTATGTAGCACTACTACTAGCCACTTAATAACTTAATTTGAGACATTTTAAAAGAATTGTTAAAAAAATTAAACAAGTTTTATTGTAGTGTAACAAATAAACACTAAACTGTATGACGACTTTTCCCAATTACTTAAATATGTAATATGTGAATTTTTAGTTTTTCAATTTTAAAACAAAACCCTTAAGAACATATGGGTTTGGCTCAAATATAATCGATCTGAAATGTAAAAGAACTTCCTAAAGTTAGTTAAAAATAGCATTCCAATAATAAATTTTTCTAAAAATCCTCGGAAATCATTGCACAGTGTAAACTTACGTTACTCTGTACTCTAACTGATAATCTAGACGACTACTAGGTATTGAAGAAGAATTGATGAAGAAAGGGTAAATTGCCCGTCAATTATAATCATATAAATCGATTTTTTGCTTTCACAGCAAATAATTGTTTGCTGACAAGCAAATGAATATCAACCAAAATTAAATATCAAGCAAAATAAAATATCAACCAAAATCAAATACCAACCAAAATCAAATATCAACTAAAATCAAATATCAACAAAAATCAAATATCAACTAAAATCAAATATCAACTAAAATCAAATATCAACCAAAATCAAATAACAACTAAAATCAAATATCAACTAAAATCAAATATCAACTAAAATCAAATATCAACCAAAATCAAATATCAACCAAAATCAAATATCAACTACAATTTAATAGCCCTATTACTAAAGAAGTTATTTCGATTCACTAATTTACTGATAAATACTTTTTTCAAAAAACAAGACTGCTTTATAATGAGGATTTTTTTGGTTTCTAAAGAAGGAAAAACAGCACGTTTTCCCCAAGAACTAGCAGCCTTACATATAAGGATATTTATGCAACAAGCCATTCATTGACACGAGGAAAATGTGCAAAATTGCAGCGTCAAACGTGACGCAAGATGGCAACTATTACTAAGCGTTTTGCACAATTGTTCCAATACTGCATTCAGACGTTTTTTTTTAAAGGTTGATAAACAAGTCAGTTTTTTTAAAAGATGCATTTGCACTTTGCAGTATATTAGATTGATGTGAATAATTGCTATCGCCTTGATGTTTTTTAATTTCCAGAAAAAATAATTCATTAGATTTACTTACAATGTACTTATGATAAAGTACATTAGATTTACTTACAATGTACTTATGATACAGTACATTAGATTTACTTACAATGTACTTATGATACAGTACATTAGATTTGCTTACAATGTACTTATGATACAGTATATTAGATTTACTTACAATGTACTTATGATACAGTACATTAGATTTACTTACAATGTACTTATGATACAGTACATTAGATTTACTTTCAATGTACTTATGGTACAGTACATTAATCTGCAGGATTGTGACCAATTGTTGTCTCTTGAGAAAGTTGAAATAATGATTTTGATTTATTATATTTTTATATTTTTACTACAGTGAAACCCTTAATAACGAATACATCGAAAGAATCAATCAAATGTCGTATTCTTCACTTTCTGATGATGGAATGTTGCAGATATTTAGGTTTTTAATTAAATGATTATATGGAACTCTTTAAAACTGTTCCCACATATTCATGGCTATTTATTTTGCAAATATCCCCCCCCCCCACACACAATTTAAGGGTGCTTGATAAGAAACAAATCATTCGCTATTGATAATATAATATTTACAAACAAAAAGAAATATTTGTCATGCAACATCTTTTTATCAGATATAGACAGCAATCATTATTATTGGGTTATACAAAGAATTGTAACTTTTTCTTCCCCTTAATCATACATGATAAAATGGTAAATGAAGACAACTTCTCTAAATATACAGTGCTCCCCAAAATAAAATGGTAAGCATTGGCGACTTCTCAAAATATACAGTGCTTCCCTAAATAAAATAACAAGCATTGAAAACTTCTTATAAATATACAGTGCTCCCCAAAATAAGATGGTAAGCATAGACGACTTCTCAGAAATATTCAGTGCTCCCCGAAATGATATGGAAAGTGAAGACGACTTCTAATAAATATACAGTGCTCCTCAAAATAATATGGCAAGAATATACGACTTCTCTTAAATATTCAGTGCTCCCCAAAATAATATAGTAAATAAAGACGACTTCTCATAAATATAGTGCTTCCCAAAACTATATGGTAAGCATAGAAGACTGCTCATAAATATACAGAGCTCCTCAAAATAATATGGTAAGTGATGATGACTTTTCATAAATATACAGTGCTTCTTGAAAAATAGATTGCATATTAAAGAAAAGTCGTCTTCACATCACCCTTTTGTTACCGTGTATTTATTAAAAGCCACCAATCTTTACCATTCAATTTTGGGAAGCACTGTTTATTTAATACAAGTCGTCTTTATTTTCCACTTTATTTTGGAGAGCACTTAATATTTAAGAGAAGTCATCTATTCCTACTATATTTTTTGAGGGGAGCACTGTTTATTTATAAGAAGTCGTCTTCATTTTCCATATCATTTTGGGAAGCACTGTATATTCTGAAAAGTCGCCAATACTTACCATTTTATTTTGGGAAGCACTATATATTTAGGAGAAGTTGTCTTCATTTACCATTTTATCACGTATGATTATGTCCCTTTTCCACGTACTGCACCTAATAACAATGATCAGTGTAGTTGATTAACCTAAATACACACGTCAGAATCTAGCGTACATTTTCCTCCAAATGTCCTGACGGGGCCACTTTTGTATGCAGGGTCACTTTAAACTATGCTTACATTCCCTTTCAAATTGTTAGGCTGGAATATATCTTTTTTTAAATGATTTAATTTTAAAACAAACATTGTTTTATCACAAAACAATGCCTAAAGCTGTAGTTAGCAAGGTGTAACCTTAACATTTGTATTTAAGTCAATGCATTTATTGTTGTTTTTTTGTTGCACCAAGTGCATTAATTTGCAAATTTTGCTGACAAGCTTTGCAGTCTCACAATATATAGTATAGGCTGGGCAAAACTGCATTTATCCAGATTTAGAACAAGACGATTCTGCACCAGGAGGTCGAGGACTACAGGTAAGTGCTCCAGACGAAAACAAAGGGCAAACCTCTGAAAATCCTTTCTAACCTGATGTTAACCTTTCACTAGGTCCAGTTTAAAAAAAAAAAACTGTGCAACCGTATGAATTGTTTGTGAAATCTCAAAGGTTTGGTAACGAGTTTCTATCAGGCCTGGTCACAATGTTCATCAGTGGTAATCCCCGCAAGGATTCCATGATCCATCTGGTTTAGGAACCATTTGGAAATCTTTTGGAACTCTTCCTTGGCGGCTGCCAATTTCACCTGATCCATCTTGATCACATGCTTAATCTGGTGGTCTGGGAGTTGACCAGGGAGGCAAGGATTCCAAGCAGCAGGATATTTGTCAATATCAGCGGCAAGCTTGGAGATTGAGGCAATGGCGGAGTCGGTGGGTGAAAACAGAGGAATAGCAAAAGGTTTCAACAAGGAGTGTTGAATAACTTGACCTCTGGCTGGGTCCGCCAGGAAATCAAATTCAGCCAAAAAATCTGCTCCAAGAATAGGATTATCCATGGCGGCTAGCAAGAACGGAAATAGAGATATATGAGTAAACCGTTGACGGGCAGGCTGCTTAATTTCTCCTCCTCCTGTAGGCTCTCTTGAAACTGAAAGGAGGACGGCAATTATTATCCCCAGTGCCAAAACATTTGTGGACATAATACTCTCTGGAGCTAATTAGCAGGACCTGGAGTCTTGCTGCTCCCATGTCCACAAGCATGGGACGCAGAGGAGGGGGTCTGCTGGTTGAACCCAACGAGCGTACCAATAACTTGTCTGCTTGCAAGGGATTTTTAAAACCCTTGGCAACTAGATATTGCATCTCATCTCAACTGGTAATCATTACAGGAATAGGTCAAGAAATAAACTACCTGGAACCTCGTTTTCAGGGAGAAGAGCTATCATGGCTCCAATCAGTGAAGTAGGTCGATGGCCTCCTAACCCAGGGTGATGAATGAGTTTCGTCACTCTCTGCCAGTGTGTCAGAGTATAGGACAAGACCAATTTGGCCTTGAGGTCCTCGTAGGGGGTAGAAGACTAGGATGCGGAGCTCATGATCAGGCTTCTGACAGAGACCATGATGTTTTGTGGCAGCTTCTGAACAACATGGTTGTGTTTTGTATGCGAATGAGTAACCTGAGCATTTCTATATGTGGATTCAGTGTGCTTGAACCAGAGCTCAGGGTCCTTGATCCAAAAAACTGGAAGCTTGACAGCAATCTTGGTGATGTACTCAGTCAAGATGGAAACTTCTACGGTTATGATGATGCAGATTTTTGCTATAATTAACGAAACAGATCACTGACTGTTCGGAGTCGGGTCACCAATATAGAGGTCTTGAGGATGGTCTCAAAAAAACGAGGCTAGACTTGATTCCGTGTAATATATATTTCTTCATAGTAATACAAGATAACTCTAAAAACAGTCTTCAATATTACACGACTAAAACTATATAGATATATTTGGTTTGGCGAATCAGAGGACGGAAGCTGTGGAAATATAGTCTTCCACAATTATAATAATAATAAAAATAGAATTTTTTAATTCGAAGTTTTAATTTTTTTTTTGATTTTTGAAAGAACACTTTCGATTTTTGAAGTGAGAAGTAATAGATCTAAGGAGGGTGGCCACGGAGAACTCAAGGATTCCACAAAAAAAAGTGAATAAAGACCAAATTTATAAGTATTTCCAAAATGCATAGTCTGGCTTTTTTATGTTTTTGAAATAAGCAGAGATAGAAAACCTTTAGTTCAGTTATGATCAATGTTAATTTGATAGATTTTTCGTGGGACACCACACGCATACATATATATAATTATATATATACATATATATACATCGTGGGACACCACACGCATACCTTTATATATATTTATATACATATATATACATATACTAGAAATTCAAGGCGCCCTTCTTTCTAGGCTTTTAGGGCGCTTCGCGCCCATCTTCTATTTAAATTGTGAACATGTTCTTTTTGTTTACAATTAAAAACCTCTAAAACACAAATTTTTAAAATTTCAATCATTCATAACCTTCGCTGGGGTCCCTAGATGTCCCACAAAAAATTTGGGCCCGATCGGTTCAGCCGTTTTGACGTTTATTGGATACAAACAGACAGACAGACAAACAAAATAATAATAATAATAATAATAAATAGACAAAAAATACTTTCTCGGTTTCGTTAAAAATAAAGACAAAGAATTTCTTGCAATTTTCGAAATGTGATAACCTTGATATTTAATTCTACAGTGAGCACATGCAAATTTTGGTATATGAAGACGATTATTAGACTCAAATTAAGACTTTAAAAAGTCCAATAGACATGAGAGACAGCAGTTGTGTAGCGTAATCAGGCCCATTTCACTCAATAGGTGATTTAATTATTATTTGAACTTATTGCTTTTTAGGAACATAAACTACACTATAAGCACTGTTTTCATGTCGTCTTCCAATTCAGCAGTTTTCTGCTTCTCGCTGTAGTGAATCGAGCTTTTGTAATATATGTTTATTTGATATTGTAAATGTAAAGTAAGCACCAAACACTCAAGAATAGGAAGACGACTTTCCGTTTAGACTTTAAAAATTGTCCAAAATACATGAGAGACAGCAACTGTGTAGTGTTAACAGGTCCATTTCACTCAATCAGTCTTTAACTTCTTGGTGGAACAATTTGCTTTTTTTGCAACATAAAATGTTTTTGTTTTATGTTTTTATGTTATCTTCCAATTCCACAGTTTTTATAATATGTTTATTTAGTAAATATTTGAAAATTACTTACATTCCCGCCATTTCCTTTCTCTAGCCTGGGAATATTTTAAATCCTGAAAAAAACTCCAATTAAACAATTTGTTTGTACTTTCTTATCAAACTTGCAGTTTATCCAAGACAGATTGCAAACAATTCACTTTAAAGGGACTGCTGGTGACATTTACCCTTGACATGACTTTAGAGACGATTATTAAGGTTCATTTTTTTTCCGTTATATTAAAGGGACTGTAAGTGTAATTTCTAGTGACTCTTTATGCAAAGAGAGGGATGTCTAATTTACAACGGTACCCTTTATAACCTTAAAAACCTTTCACTCGAGGGCAGAGCAATCTGTGTGGATATCTCTCAAATGATGTTCAAATTTTAAACTGAAATGTACGCTGGCGTACATTGTGAACTCAACACAGCTGACGTTACATTCCTTCAAAAATCCCGAGGCTGTTTTCAAAAATTCAATATAGGTCTTAATTTTCGAAATATAGTTGGTGGAAGCCTTGAACCAAACCAGATTGGAAATAAAACGATAAACACAATTTTTTAGTAAATATATTTCGACATTTCTGTGCAGTTCATTTATTTATTTATTTATTGGTAACTGTTGTAAAAATGAAAGATTCACTGGAAATTACGCCTAAAATACCTTTCTTTCAAGTTTCGTGCATTTAGATTTTTGCAAAATATATAAAGGTAAATAAATAATAATAATCAGCTCTATTGATGTTAGATGAAAATATAAGAATATGGGTGGCTGGGGGGGGGGCTATTGGGGTTAAGCCCCCCCCCCTAGAAAATATTCGTCACTGGAAAACATTGTAATTATTTGCAATTGATTTCTTTGCATAATAATTTTGTTTATTATTTAAATTACAATAAAGTTCAAATCTGCTGGCAATACGAAAGGATAATTAAGCAACAGATTTTTAACAATTTAAGTTACGACAATATGTCTTGCCCTCACGTTGAACTTTTTTACAATCTCAATTTTTCTGTTTATTTTTCATAAATATTATTTTGTTGACATTTTTTATATTCTCTAATTTATGATTACACTGTGATCAAAGAACGAGTAAAGGCCCAAAAGTTTTTAAGTTTTTGACCTTGACCAATCATACCAAATGTTAACGCACTTGGGTTAAACACTTTCATGCACAAAAAGTACATTAATTAATGCGTAAATCTTAAGAAATGGAGTATGAAGGTTATGAAGGCAATCTTATTAGGCATTAGGTAAATTCCCAAACGCATTTTCCCAAGGGCGACTTCCCGAGTATCAATTTCCCAAGTGAAACTTCACAAATGTGCAATTTCCCAAGCGGCAACTTCCTAAAGGTTAGGTTAGGCCCTCTGAGGTGCCGGCCGCAGGCTACAATGGGGGCCGAGCGCTGCGGCTAGGATGGGCTAGGGGGCTAGCGCCGAAGCTAGAACAGGCTTATGGGTTAAGCTCTTCGGCTAGGTCAGACTTGGGAAGTTGCCGCTTGGGATATTGCACATTTGGGAATTTGCCACTTGGGAAATTACCCTTGGGAAGATGCCGCTTGGGAAAGTACCTAACATCTAGAGTTTTAAATGAACTTGAAACATTATGAAGCGAATTCAAATGTGCAAAGATAATAAGTTTGTACTAAAGAAAAACTAAAAAATGCAAATTCACATTAAAGGCATATGTGCAAAAAGAAGTGCCTCGTTAGGTATCTTAAAAAAAAAGTTATTTAAAATGTTATCTGATGCCTACATCAAAGTGCAATAAACCCTTTTCTTATTATTGCAAAAAATGAATATAGAACTTTGGAGATGTTAGTACATGCTTAATCTTATTCTGTTAAACGTACTAAACTTAAAACTGAAAAATCAATTATTTTGTTATGCTGCACCTCGGTCTTACTAAATTTAACTAGTAATCCCTGACTTATTGTAAACTTTCAAAACCTAGTAATATTTATCATATTGTAAACGTTTTAATTTTAATTAGGTGGGGATAATACCCGAAAAAGCAAATAGCTAACTCCACCTAATTGCTATAATTATATAAATATAGTAAACAATATAAAAATAGTTACAGATTTTTTGCCTGTAACATTACAACTTGTATGTGTATTATTAGCAATAAACTATATCTTATCTTATTTTATCTTATGCAAAATATCAGTGCAAAACTTCCTTTCCAGATTTTTAACTTCCTTATAGACAAAAGCTATACTAGCTTGATATATATAGACATGAACTATACTAGCTTGATATATATAGACATGAACTATACTAGCGAGATATTGAAATTTAATGACTATGAAGCAAACGTAAGAATATGGTTTATCGTTATTAGTCTGACTGAACATTTTGTAATTTGAAGTAAATCTCCATTTATATAGTTGCATGTCCTATTCACATGTGTACCCTTAAGTATATTGTTGCATGTCCTATTCACAACTGTACTCTTAAATATATAGTTGCATGTCCTATTCACAGCTGAACCCTTTAAAAATATAGTTGCATGTCCTATTCACATGTGTACTCTTAAATATATAGTTTCATGTCCTATTCACAGCTGTACTCTTAAATATATAGCTGCATGTCCTATTCACAGCTGTACCTTAAATATATAGTTGCATGTCCTATTCACAGCTGAACCCTTAAATATATAGTTGCATGTCCTATTTACAGCTGTACTCTTAAATATATAGTTGCATGTCCTATTCACAACTGTACTCTTAAATATATAGTTGCATGTCCTATTTACAGCTGTACTCTTAAATATATAGTTGCATGTCCTATTTACAGCTGTACTCTTAAATATATAGTTGCATGTCCTATTCACAACTGTACTCTTAAATATATAGTTGCATGTCCTATTTACAGCTGTACTCTTAAATATATAGTTGCATGTCCTATTTACAGCTGTACTCTTAAATATATAGTTGCATGTCCTATTCACAACTGTATCCTTGAATATATAGTTGCATGTCTTATTTACAGCTGTATCCTTAAATATATAGTTGCATGTCCTATTCACAGCTGTACTCTTAAATATATAGTTGCATGTCCTATTCACAGCTGTACTCTTAAATATATAGTTGCATGTCTTATTCACAGCTGTACCCTTAAATATATAGTTGCATGTCCTATTCACAGCTGTACCTTTAAATATATAGTTGCATGTCCTATTCACAACTGTATCCTAAAATATATAGTTGCATGTCCTATTCACAACTGTACCCTTAAATATATAGTTGCATGTCCTATTCACAACTGTACTCTTAAATATATAGGTGCATGTCCTATTCACAACTGTACTCTTAAATATATAGTTGCATGTCTTATTCACAACTGTACCCTTAAATATATAGTTGCATGTCCTATTCACAACTCTACTCTTAAATATATAGTTGCATGTCCTATTCACAACTGTACTCTTAAATATATAGTTGCATGTCCTATTCACAACTGTACCCTTAAATATATAGTTGCATGTCCTATTCACAAGGTTGACAAATAAACGCAGCAAATTATATCAAAAATCAAGATGACATTTAAGTCGTCCTGCATACTGTCATGTTTCGTGGGACACCCTGTATATTTACACAGCAATTAATTATATACAGTTAAACCCAAATATCAAATACATCGAAAAAGTTCATCAAATGTCGTCTTGACAATTTTCAATGGGTTTCATACTATTTTGCGTGAATCTAAGTATTTGCGAAAATACATAAATAGCCATGAATATGCGGGAACAGTTTTAAAGAGCTTCGTATAATTATTTCATTGAAAAACTAAATATCTGTAATTTTCGGTGTCGTATCGTTTGTACTAATGATTGATTGGACTAACGTACATTCGCACTAACGTTCATTCGGACTAACGTTTTATTTGAGGGTTAGTTTAGGTTAAGACAATTTCTGGGCCGAACGCTGCGGCTAGGACAGGCTAGGGGACCGAGCGCCGCGGCTAGGCCAGGCTAGGGGGCCGGGCGCTGCGGCCACATGTGATCAGAAAGTGAAGAATACGACATTTGATACTTTCTTTCGAAGTATTTGATATTTAGGGTTTAACTGTTTTTAGTGCGCATGTTATTGCATATTTCATTAAGGGTTACCCACAAAGGATGCTATTTCAGAGACGACTGTACAGAATTTATACTGTCTGTTTCCATGTATTTTTGGATTCTCTACAACCATATAAACTCGTTTCTTTCTTTACTAAATCATATAATAATTGCTAAATAATCATTACACGAGCTCTTAATTGATTAATGCCAAACCAATTGGAACGATCAGCTATCAATGTCAGCACGGACACAAGCACTTAATCTATCAATGCCAGATCAATGGGCACAATCAGCTATCAATGTCTACAAGGACACAAGCACTTAATCCATCAATGCCAAACCATTGGGCACAATCAGCTATCAATGTCTACAAGGACACGAGCACTTAATCCATCAATGCCAGATCAATGGGCACAATCAGCTATCAATGTCTACAAGGACACAAGCACTTAATCCATATATGCCAGATTAATGGGCACAATCAGCTTTTAATGTCTACAAGGACACGAGCACTTAATCCATCAATGCCAGATCAATGGGCACAATCAGCTATCAATGTCTACAAGGACACGAGCACTTAATCCATCAATGCCAGATCAATCGGCACAATCAGCTATCAATGTCTTCAAGGACACAAGCACTTAATCCATCAATGCCAAACCATTGGGCATGATCTCAGCGCTTATGATTTAACGAGGACCAAATTACTCTCAACACTGTAATCAAAGCGGAGTCTCCATATCAACTCCATATATTTCTAGATATTTGATTAAAGTCAAATAGATTATCAAGTTCAATAGGTGGCAACAGAGAAATGGACCAATTATACACGACGTCACAAGTGTCAAATATAACAAGGAAAACAAAATTTTCTCACATTAGTTGACATGTTTTCAAAGATTAAATGAATAAGCATAAAAACAGAAACTTAAGAACTCATAAAATTGCACTTATTTCACTGTAAGATAAGCACTCTATTCTAAAGTTAATCGATCACTATTATTAATAATTTTGTCGGACACAAACAGTGAGTTGACACTTGTGACGTCAGAATACAGCTGTACTGAGAGTGTACAAATTCTACGTTGCCATCTATTGCACTAGAATCTATTTGATTAAAGTTAGGTTTTAACAGCATAATTTTAAGTTATGCGTTGTCAAATATAACAAAGTTAAGCAATATGGGTTTGATTGAGTTATATATATGCATATCTAGGTTTGGTTAATGGCAATTCATGACTTCCATATTTACAAATGAGCGCATTTAACTCTATGGACAATGTACAACATAATTTATCTAGATTACTGTGGGGCCTCTGTATTTATAACACTTCTATATGTTTTCCGACAGAAGAAATGCCCAAGCTTCTTATTGAAAATAATCAGTTTTAAAATTGTTAATTCATGATCTCATCAGACAATTTTAAGGGTTCCGTTGTGAATCAGTCCCGCCTTTAAGATACAATGTATGATGTAAAATCGAGAATTTGCGTTCAAAGTTTTCACCGAAAGTATTTTACCTTCCTAAGCTATGAACACGATCAGACTGAGATAAAGAAAATTTTCCTCCGTTTATAAGTTGTCCGAGATTGGGAATGAAATGCGCGAACCGACGACAATTGGCGCCGCAAGTTTTCTGAGCGGGAAAGGCGGAAGGGGATGAATGCAATTGCAAACAACTCTCGCAGATCAGAGGAAATTTGTCGGTGGAGGTGTGAGGGGGGGGGGGGGTTAGGAGGGACATGTCAAAATTTGGTTCGCTGTAGGTGACAAGAGTTCATAATTTAAGCAAACGTTGATGGTTAAATTATATTGGTTAAAATTTGTGGTCTTCAAAGCACAAATTATTCCTTACTCGTGAGTTTGTAATGTATCTATATATATGTATATATATATATGAAGTTGTAATCTCTGTTTGTCTGTTTGTTCGTCCGACTGAGAAACCCCATGACCGATTTGCCTTTAATTTTGATTGAAAAACTCCGGAGAGCCACTTGAATGTTATTATTCTGGTTTTGAGATTCTAAATTGAGTGAATTGACTTTTAATAGCAAAAATGTTGTTTCCCGGTAAAACGATGGGAGACTGGGATTATCTCTTAGTAACCTAAGGAGCGCTGGGTCTGGATTATATATATTAACATGTGTGTATCAATTTACTAAGAACTATTTAAGCCTATTCTTGCGACTCCTACCTCCTACCTCCTATCTGGATTATATATATTAACATGTGTGTATCAATTTACTAAGAACTATTTAAGCCTATTCTTGCGACTTTTCTGCCATATTATTAGCTTAAGACTGTTTTGCTAAATGCAGTTAGAATCAGAAAACTGAGGAAAAGGAGGACGACTTTCTATATTTCTACAATTGAGCTAAATCTTTGTTTTGACCCACTTTCAGTTGTCAGATTTTGATAACTTTTAGCTTTTTGGAAACGGATTGCACAAGTTTTGCAAAGAAATTTTGCAAATTATTTGCACACAACCCGTCCAAAGAAATTTACGCATTTTTCGTTTTTCTCAATTACACATCAGGTTATTTAAGATTTTGCACATTTTTTGCATATTTTAAATCACAAGATCAAGGCTTTTCAAAAATGTATATTTTATCAATTTTTGGACATTTTTTGCAAACATTTTTACTATATATAACTGGATATTGCAAAAAAAAATTCTTGTAAATTTGCATTTTTTGCATATTATAAAAGTGCAGAGCATAATAGCTTTCCAATGATGTGTCATTTGTCATATTTGGACATCAAACATGGAATTAAGGGGGGGGGGGGGCGTATTCTGGTTTTCTAGTACCCAGCAGGGATAGGGTTAAAATAATAACTTGAGTCAAAAAAGTCATTATCTATTTCCCAAAGTTTTATGGGATCACTGCATGAATTCTTAACAAACAGTAAATTGCAGAAGTATTTGTAAAATATTTAGAATGCTGATGACGTTAGATAGTTAATATTGAATAGTTTGAAAAAGCTTACTTCAGATTAGATCCCGACAAAAATGGTTTTGAAAATGCTAACAGCGATTTCTTACACATTGACATTTTTCAATGACAAAAATATTCATATTTTATTATATCACGATTGCTTTTATTATTATTATAATTTAAACAAGAAGTTTAATAATATTATTTTTTAGCATAATTTTTATAGTTCTTATTATGATTGATATTTGTGTTGTGGTTATTAAACGAATATCCTCATTCTGGACATTTATATTACGTAGATTATATAACCTAATTTTACAAATATGTCCTCAATTACTGCATGAATTCAACTTTTTTTTTTTTTCTCCAACTTCTTATCTTCATTTTTAGACTAAATAATTTAACTTCTGAAGAAAGTAAAAGAAATAAAACTCGTTTAGAACTGTTTATCACAAAGAAAGAAAGGAAAATTCAAGAATGCGAATAAAAAAGTTAAATTCATCCTAAGACAAGGAAGGAAAAACAAAAATGAAGGAAAGGGTTACGCAGCTATGGGTGTGGGGGGGATGCAATAGGAGGTGTTAATACAGATAGGGGAGGGTGTGGGTACAGGATCAAGGGAAGGTGAGGGCTAAAGTAAAATGAAAAAAAAACTGTTTTATCGATTCATAATTATCTCGTCATTCATGAGTGAATTTTGAAATATGAAACTTTGCAGAGAACAAACGTTTACAGTTTAGATCTAGGTTAGAACTAGAACTAGAACTAGAAAACACAAACACAAACACAAACACAAACATGGAATAGAACTAGAACTAGACAAGATATAGAACTAAAAAGCTAGAACTAGAACTATAGAGGCTATCCACTTTTCAAACCTCTCAAAATTGTCAGACACACTTTGTATGCGTATATTATACAGTTGTGAGTATGTGAAGACAGATAAATATTAACCTATACTTGAATAATTGTATGGAAAACTATGAGAAATGTCAACTATAATTGTTGAGCATATATCCAGCCCTATTTATAATTTTCATTCCTTTGAATATTATATGTTTAGATTTAATTTAAATATCGACAAGTAGTTGAACTACGTAGACAAGATGCCGCCACTTCTCTTGTACACCGATTATTAAAAATTATATTATACTTTCTATTTGAGTTGCACAGAGATGTTAAATTCTTGTTTTCAAGATTTTTGCATCGTGACAAAAAAAGCAGAATTAAGAGCCAAACACGAGATTATTTTTTTTGCAGCAAACGTTTTTTCCTGTCAATTACATTGTAAAAGTTAAAAAAGATTCCGAACTTTTGCTTGCTTTATCATAAAAGTTAGACATGCAAATTATGCTAGAATTGCATTTCTGCATCTCATGGAAACAAATTAGATTTTACTCCTACCTCCTACCTCCTACCTCATACGTCATACGTCATACCCCCCACCTCAGACCTTATACTTTCCATTTGTCTAATCGCCTGTAAATCGTACTGCAAGAATTGAATTGTACTGCTCTGTACAATGTTGCAATTAAAAGAAGAGATTCCGGCCCAAGAAAGTAAAAAAAGAATTCACCCTTTACAGTTTTTGTGTAAAAACTTAAAAATGAATAGTCGAAATTATTTTGTAATACTATTTTTTTTCAAACATTATCTAGCACGTATACTTTGCTAGTCTGTTTGTATCCAAAAAACGTCAAAACGGCTGAACCCCAAACAGGCCCAAATTTTGTGTGGGACCTTACATGACCCCAGGGAAGGTTTATAGATAATCAAAGTTTCAAATAACCTGCCTTCAACAAAATTCGATTTCCATTAAATTAGAAAACTCCACAATTTTTTTTTAAAAAACCGCAAATTTTGTTTGTTTTTATTTTACTTGAAGAATTGAAGAAGAAGATGTGCGAAAAGCGCCCTAAAAACCTAGTTTTCCATACTTTATTATTGTTATTTTCAGCATTGATTTTCCTTGGACTAACCAGGACGAGATGCGTTCGGGTTTTCCATTTTCCGAATTTATTCGCGTGTTGTTCTGTGATTTTTTTTTCTAATTTCACTGTTAAAAAGCACCCACGGACAAACAGAGTTAATAAAGATAAAAAGCAATGGATTTAAGTTTATTATGTCAAATTAGTCATCAAAAGTTTATGTTTATTGGACTTGGACCAAAGTGTGTAATCAACTTGACATTATTTAAATTATTATTTTCATAATTTTTTTATTACTGTCATCTTAACTCGCAATATCTTTATTATTATTATTATTATCTTTATTATCGAAACAATTATTTTGAACTATAAATATCTGTTATTTAAGCCGGTTCCTAATGATGTGTTTTCTTAGTAACGTATAGACTATAAAGTACACGATGCTGTTATCTTCTCAGCTTAATCTGTAATCAGTTGGATTAACTTGCAGTTTCTCAGTAAACAGTGTATACAAGAACAGAGTGATAATATACACACTTGAAGCTTGTTCAAACAAAATGGAAGCTTTTATTGGAACCTGGACATTTGTGGAGTCGGACAACTTTGAACCCTATCTCAAAGGTAATTTTTCATAAGTTTTGGTGATCACTGGCCTCAGCGATTCTTTCTCAGATTCCCTTTTTCTTCTCGTTTTTCTCAAAGAAATGATTCATGCAGTGCATACATTTTTTTGCCTTTCAATGGCCTGTTTAATGGGGGGGNATGAATATTGAATATATCCGTTCTACTCTTTATTCAATCAATTTATCATTGAAAGCTGATGTATCAATTGATTTCAATTGGATGAACAATCTATAATTAAGAGACTGTTATTGATTTTTACACACAATTTGTTTAAAATTTAGTTTTCTGTAGATATTTATAGATTACTTGGTTTATGTCAACTTCAGGTTTTTGCGGATATTTTGTTTTGATTTGGCGCATATACATAATGAATTATTACTAGAATTTTTTTCATTCAATTTTGATGTTTCACTAACCTTCTCTGTGGTTATATAAGGTCTCACACAAAATTGGGGCCCGATCGGTTCAGCCGTTTTGACGGAGTAGTGATAATCTGGCCTTTATACATCGTGCAATATAGTAGTAGGTAATAGGTATGCATAATACTCTCTTTTTTCAGCTTTGGGCATCGCCGCACCTCTGAGAAAACTAGGTACTTAAAAAACATTAAATTCGTGATAAATGTTAAATTTTTTTGACATTTTATTTCTTTAGCAAACCTGACTACACCAACAGTTATTATCTCAGACCTTGGAAACGGTAATAAACATTTCTTTTTTCTTTCTACTTCTAGTAATTTACTTTTTGGGTCACATCTTTAAATATGTCATTTAAAGTCGTCTTTACATTCTCATCCTTTGTGGATAATCCTGTCCTTTAAATGTGTATTGCAGTTTCTTAGACAAAGGCTTGGATTTTATAAAT